TATGTGTGTGTTTTTAAATAACTTTTAATTTTGAGCTGGTAATTATTTTGATAATTGAAAGAAGACTTTTGGAATAAAAAAAAAGGTTGCATAAATGAACAAGAGAGTAAAAATAAACAACTAATTAAAATTGATCAAGAGTCAAATTAAACAACTTAACAAAAATGAATAAAAATGCACAATAAATCAAAAAAGGACAACCCAAACACCACCTGTAATTCTTGTCCTCTTTTCAAACAACACTTAAGACAATTGCCAGGACCTCTTGTTCCTCTTAAATGTATGCATGAAAAAGCAAGCGGAAGTGAAGGCAAAGCCTGGGGGCAAGTCCTTAGGTGGCGGGAGGGGGGTGATTTTGACAAGGAGAGAGAGAGGGAAATCTCATTTGGCGCTTCCTTGGCAGATGCCAGTCAATCGTTTCAATATTATTCAATAACACGCCTCCAGCCCTTTTGCCTTTCCCAGTGGCCAGATGTCAGAGGCGTCTCATATTCGTAAACAAGTTGATTTCGCTCGGCAGCTTGTGCTTGTGAGTGTGTGTCGTCATTTATTTCAGCTCATTTATTGATTCAAATATATATATATATTATATTGCGGAAGGAGACACGTGTTTGCCGCCAGATATATGCCAGAATCTGGCAGATATAACAAAAGGACCTCGGGACGTGCAGGAGACCAGAGACCAAGTGGCTATTTGATGTGACTTACAGGGGGAAATATTAAATATAAAATATATTAAGAAAATATATATTATATTAAATTAAATATATAGTATAAAGTTCAGAATATATATTATTTTTAAAGCCTAAATATTAAATATTTAATTTTCAAGTATTATTATTTTTTTTAGACAGGTTAAAAACTTGTTTTTAGCTCTATTTGGACTATTTTTTTAATAGGAAAAAATCCCTAAATATATATTTGGTTTTTTAAATATTTAAAAATCATAATTTAAACATCCTATAATATTTAATATATTTTTTTTAAGGGACTATGCCTTTAAGCTTTTTTTTTAATTCGAAAAAATTTTAAAAAAACTTATTTTTTATTTTAGAATTATATATATCATAATTCAGCCAGTAGTACTTAATATATTTTCTTTATCCGAAAAATCCCTAAAAATTTATTTTTTATTTTAGAATTATATAAACAATAATCAGCTAGTAATTTTGATTCTTATTTTTAAAAAAGAAGAGACTATGATTTTAAGCTCCTTTTAAGATTTTATATCAATTCGGAAAAATTATAAAAAGTGTATTATTTATTTTGGATTGATATAAATAACAATTTAAGTAATAAATTATATGTAATATATATTTAATTTAAGGGACTATGCCTTTAGGCTTTTTTATCAATTTTTTTAATCCGAAAAATGAATTTTTTTTAATCCCAGAAATGAATTTTTTTAATCCGAAAAAATCCTAAAAAAATGTATTTCATATTTTTCAACAATATAAACCTTAATTCACACACCTTGTCGTATTTAATATATTTTTCTTTTAGTGTTTCTCGCCACTATCAATTTGCTGACAGCGTATTTTCATCACGTGTCCAAGCTGGAATCCAGCGAATCGGAAGTAAACTCATTAGGCCCAGCCAGGTGCCGCAAAAAATAGGAGAAAGTATGCCCAAAATTAAATGGTAAATTCCCAAATATATATAGGCTTTATATATATGTATATATATATAAATATACATATAGAGAGAGCGAGAGCTAGTACATGTGTAGCACGGAAATGTCAGATTTATTTGACTCCAAAAAACAAAAAAAAAAAAAACAGTCACGTCACGGGCTTCCAAAGGGATTCCACAAGGACTGGCCGCAAAAGTTGAACATAATATTTTATGAGGACTTCATGGCCAAATCTCCGCCAGAATCACATGTGTGTCTATGTGTGTGTACTGATTGCAGCAGCATCCGGCAGCCAAGCATCCCCCATGATAAATGGCCCCAAACATGCAGCCAAAAATCTGCTGCAGTGCCAGGATGAAGGTCCGTCTCCCTCTCTCTCTGGGCATGATGTATCAAATTATGAAGAAATAAAGAAATAATAATAATAAAATCTTCCACAAAAGACATGGCCACAACTGTTGATGATAAATGAAGCCAAGGGCAAGTCCTTCCTGGTTGCTAGAAGCTCAAGATTTTTAGTTTTGCAAAGTTTTATCGGAATAGATTATAAGGAGGAATTATAATAATAATTTTTTAAGTCCTGTGGCTCTTGAAGAAACAAGAAAGTGAACTTTTGTATTTAAATTCATAAAATATAGCATATATTTTAATATTTGTAATTTAAAATAAATAAATTAAAGCTTATAATAATACTATAAATAATTTAAAATTAATGTAGAGTTTTAAATTAATAAAATCAATCTTATATTTTTTTATATAAAATTTTAACCAAATATATAATTTTATTTAATAAAATGAAGCTTGTATTTTGCATAATTTTTAAATAAAATAAAACTTTACATTTAATAAATATAAATCAATTAATAAAATAATGCTTATATTTTAATAAACAGAATTTTAATATAAAATATATCATTTTAATTAAGAAAATAAACAATAAAATATATATTATTTTATTTTTTAATAGTTTTTAAATAATAAATAAAATCTATATATTTTAATATATCTTTTTAAAATGTAATGTTTAGAATTTTTAATTAATAAAATAAATCACATATATTAATAAATATATGTTACACTTAATATATATTTAAAATTAATTAAATAATTCATATAATTTAAATTATAGAATTTTAATTTAATACATAATTTAAATTAATATACTTACATTTTAATAATTTTTAAATTTTAATATAAACTTAAATAAATATAATAATAAAAATTGTAAATATATATATTATATATAAAATTTAAAAATAGTCCCCTTTTTCCCCCTAAATAAATAAAAACTACAAATTGCATTGCTTAATATTTGTTGTTTCAATATTTATTTTCTCATTTTTTGACTAGGTAATGTTCCATCATAATGCTTTTGTTGTTTTGGTTTTGTTTCTTGTCGGTTTTCGGTTCATAATAATTCAATATATTGTATTTAGTTGATCGGTTAATATACCATTTAGCTTTTTTCTTTTGTTTTGTATAATAACGACCAGTCCAGGCTGCAATTAAACCCATTTTCCTACTAGGATTTGGGCTATATATTGCAGCCGAGGGCCGTGAATTTTGTATAATTAATATATATATATATAATTAATATATATATATAACATGTGAGTGTTTCATTTTTTTGTTTTTATTGTACATACAATACATATGTTATAGACGATATATAATATATGTAGAATTAAACGTAGGTAAATAATGTAACATACAATACATGAATGAGAGGACTCTGGGGGGAAGGGGAGTGGGGTTTTGAGGATTCCTTAGGGATACAATATACATATTCTCTATTATAATTCTTCAATTCGTGAGTAGTTTGAGTGTATGGAGTATGGCAATGTTTGGACTAGGGTTTTGGTTTTTAACGTTATCGATAAATCTCGATAGATTTCGATAGATAATCGAACAGAGGCTTAGAGGTGAGAGTGGAATATACATAGATATATATATTCATATTTAACACTCAATTAACAAATCTATTATTAGGCAATCTTGCTAGTTAACTCAATCAATCAATTAATCAATCAAATACGTGTGGCATATAGTTTATGAATATCTTCTTCGATTTTTTTTAGTTTAGCTTTCGATTAACCCATCTCCTAGTTTTTGCTTCAACAAAGATGATTTGCCTATATGGTTTTTACTTTTACTTTTTTTTTACCTTTAGTTTGTTTAGTTTTGAATATAATTTAAATTTGATTCACAACAATAACATTTGAATATGCTTTTCCTTTAGCCATTTCCGCTTCCGCTTTCGCTTCTGCTGAGTTTCTGAAGTTTCATCTCTAAATTTATCGTTAAATCAAATGGTATACGTAAAGCTTAAAGTGTATCTGAGATGTGGCTATGGATAGTCGCAGTTCGCAATTCGCATTTAGCAATTTTTTTTTTTTTTTTTTTGCTTGACCTCCAGTGTTGGTTAAAGCTGGCAGCTCGCATTGTCTCGTTACATTCAGTGTTGGTTAACCCTATGTAAAGCTGGCAGCTTATCCCGTTAGGTTCAGTGTTGGTAAAGCTGGCAGCTCGTTTCCATCTTTGTCTCAGCGTTTATATGTGTGAGTGTGTGTGTTTTTGTCTATGTGTGCGTGTGCCCTCCAGTGTTGAGCTTTCGTTTTTTTTGAGGGGGAAAAAAGGGCATTTACTAACACTGAGAACGATTTTTATATGTATGTACTTTTGTATGTCTGGCGAAATTGCTTGTCACTTGTGGCTTAATCCCCTAACTCAGATCAGATTACATCGGCGTATATAGAGTATATATATATGTATATATATATCGTTTAGTGTGGTTTTTAGTGTCTGTGATTATAACCATTATCCCTATGCATATGTATGGGTTGACTTTACGTACGATTTCTGGTCTGATATTGATTAACTTTAACGTGATCGTATGGCTACAAGTAACGCAGTTTAGTAAAGTTAGGTGTTGTGGTGATTAGGTTTTAGATCAGAGGATATATATATATATATATATAGATGTATGATGCTCTAGCTAACATATCCAGTTCCTCCAGTATTGAGTTGACGTTCTTTCCTTCTCCTTTGGCTTTTTACACAGTGTTCATCATGAGCCTCTCCATCGATCGTTTATCAGTTATCAGTATCATCGTCATCATTATCGGTTATCGTTTCATCGCGTCATCGTTTCATCGTTCATCTCTTCAGCTGCTCCTCTTAACATTATTGTCAACTAATCTTTACCTAACTTTGAAGCGATGAACACGCTGCACAAGCTAGAGGGGAAAATTGCGGCGAAACGCGCATGAAAAATATATATGCATATATATATAGAATATATATATATATATATATATATATGGTAGGTTGGTAGGTAGGTATATATTGGGGGGGCCAGATATATCTATGCGTATATATAATATGTATATAACAAGAACGATTTTTGTTTTTTTTTTTTGGGTAAACCATGCACGAGGAATATCTACAGAAAGCCGCTTTGTGTTTGCCCTGCCATTCGGTTTTTGCTTTTTTTTTTGGGGATTTGATTTTTACGGTTTCCTATTTCCGGTTTCCGGTTTCCGTTTTTTCGCTTAGTTGGAATCCGTGTCCGAATCGCTGGGCGGAACTGGAGATGCCGTCGGCTTTGGGGCCGAGCTGGTCGTCGTCTCCTCGCGAATTGGACGCGTTGCCGCCAGGTACGCGTTCGTGGACTCGCCGTGCGTGGTCTCGATGCCAACCCTTGAAAAAAAATATAATATATAATATAGTAGGTGTCAAAATATTTCCAGGGGTTTTCTCAGAGTTTTCACCAAAGTTCTGTTTAAATAAAATAATTTTTATAAAGTTTTCAAAGTAAAAAAGGTAAATGAAAAAAAAGTGTTTAGCTAAAACCTGCCTGTTTAATTAATTAATTAAAAAATTAAACTATTAAATTATTAAAAAATAAATCGTATTTATCTTTTAAACTTTAAACTAAATATAAAAACAGAAAAACAATATATATTTATTTTCTTGAAAAGATTTTTCATGAACAAATTAAACAGTGGGTTAAATTTGGTTTAAAAAAAACTTTAACATATGAAATTCTAAAATTATAAACAGTTTTAGGTTTTACAAAATTTAAATATATATTTTTTAGCTCCCTAAAAATATTTTTAAGTCCAGGAAAACTTAAACTTTAAGCCCCTGTGGTTAACAGCTTTAACAGGAGGATTAAAATTATTTTAAAATGATTTTCAAGCAATTAAATATATTACTTTAAAAGAGTTTATATTTTTAAAAATAAAAATATAGTAATATATATATAATTAAATTCAATTAAATAATTACTAACCAAACTTTAACCAGAGGGTTAGCTAGAAATAAGCTTTTAACTCGGGATTAAAACTCTCCTAAATACTCTTCTAAATCTTATATTCTAAAAACTTAACAAATGTTAACTTAAGTAAAATATATAATAAAATTTAAAATAATTTCAAGTTAGGGTTAAAGTGAACGTTAACTTTGAACTCTGTTTTTAGGCATAGTTTTTAATGTTTCTCGACTCACTTGTACTCGTGCCGTGCCAAGTAGCGGACATACTTCTCCGGCGGCTCATCGGCATCCGAATCCTGGACACTCACTGAGCGCACGGTGGTATGCGAGACCTGCGTGGCGGGCATGGTGAACTCCACGAATGCGTATGGCGCCAGTTCGCTGGGTATCTGATCGTACGAGGTGAGGGCCATACGGCAGACCAGCTGATGGGTGGTATAGGCACCTGGGCGGGGATATTAAAAAATGGTTAAAACTGATTTCTAAATATCCAAGATTTTTTTTGACTCAAACCGATGACTCCTTGGATACCCTGTTGGTTTCCTTGTCTTCCCCTAGTCTTCCCCCCTTACTTACCCTGACCCTCTTTGGGCAAGCGAGGACATCGCCACACAATGGCCCTATGATGATGCTCGTACTTGGCCTGACCGGAGGTCACCTCAATTAGGGATTCCTGCAGCGTGTCCACGGCTCCCAGAATGCGTTCGATGCCCTTGATCTTGCCCGTGCGTCGATGTGCCGACTTTACAGAACCATATCTGCTCCAGAACAACCCCCCCAGAGAGGAAGAGAGATTAGGTTTCTGTAGGTATATGTCCTGTACTGCCATAGTTACCCACCTGAAATGCTTCTCAACCCGGAACAGATAGATCCAACACTCGGGTATGGGGAAGCGCACCGAGACATCTTCGCAGGGTATCTGTCCTAGCTTGCGGGAGGTAAAACCCGGCACAAGGATATCGGCACGAAGCTCAACCTTGTTGCCAGTGACACACCAGGTGGCCTTCAGCTGGAGCGGAAGTTCGCGATTCTTGGGCGGACGAACGCGGAAGCGCAGCAGTTCAATATAGTTGGCATCGGGCGGTTGGAATCTAGAGGGGATTTAGAGGGAGATTTCGAGAGATATACAAAGGTAGAGCAGGAAATAGATTTTTTCTAAAAAATTGTACGAAAAAAATCTAAAATTCAAAATTGAAAATTGAAATTAACGCATAATTTAAAAGAATCGATTAATCTATTATAAAATCGATTTAATTTCAAGCTCTATATATCGGTATTAAGAAAGCTATAAATAGTGATATATAGAGTGCCATAAAGAGCTTTATATGGATAGAAAAATCCTTAAATTCACTCACTTGATGGTTCGCGTTCTCTCATACTCCTGCTGATTGACCACACTGTGAAACTCCACGGCCTCCAGTCGTATCCACTCCTCGGTGGCCACCGGTATAATATCATGACGACCCACCACCTCCTTGCCCTGCCGCCACATATCATTCACGCCCAGCTCTATGGTGGGCATACCAGTGAGGAAGGCCAAAAAGAATAGACGCACTCGGGCAATCTGCTTGAGAATCTTCCCCTCGCTATCCTGCTCCACGGTTATCTCATCCACAGCTGTCACCTGTACCTCCTCCATTTTGTAGGTCAACGCACGTTCCCTTAGCGCTGGCAGTTTAAACAGCGCCTCCTCAATGCACACGGAGAACTGTTTCATATCCTCGTAGGTCATGGAACCGATCTTGAAGAGCTGCGACGACTGGGGAGCATGCTCCACGGGCAGACCGAGCTTCTTGAGATCACTGCCAAACTCCTTGACACCCTCATAGTCGCCAGCGATGGCATATTGTGCGAACTTCGTTAGCTTGTTGGTGATCCTCTCGGCCTTGGTCACCTGGCCGGGTCTCACGCCGGGCCGCTCCTTGTAGAAGATGTACTGCAGCTTCATCGTAAAGATCTTTCCAAACTGATCGTACTGCTGGGCTCCGATCTCCGAGACCGAATAGGAGGGCTGGAGGGGCAGCTCCTGGAAGGGCTGCTTGTCGCCGGCCTGATTGAGCAACTGCACCACTGGAACATCGTTCTGGATCACCAGGCGAACGAAGATCTTCTTCCAGAAACGCTGACCGGTGATCTTCTTTTTGTTCGGCTGACGCAGTTGCATCTCCCAGCCGGGACCGACGTAGTGCAGGCGGGGGAACTCTTCCAGCGGCTGGGAGACATCCTCGTCGTAGAGCGGCGTCTGTGGCGTGTCCTGGGAATCGGTGCGCTTCATGCTTGTGACCGAACCCTCGGGCGGTGCACCTGGTGCTGGGAAACCGCTGACATCCTCGAAGGGATTCACCGTGGCCGGTGGCGATGTTGAAGATGTTGTGGCGGCTATTGTGGTCCTTGCCGGCGGCACTGGTGGCGGCGCCAGTTGGGGAGCCACACCGCCGGAACCCTCGGCCTTGGGGCGTATGACCACGCTGAATTCCTTGTCCACCGATTCCACGGAATCGGCACGGGCGGGTGCCTGCATGGCATAGAAATCATCGTCCTCATTGCCGAAGCCATCGTCCGCCGAGGTCCCGGCATCGCCAAAGGCGCTGGCCGAGATGGGTGCAGAGCCGAAGGCACTGTCGCCCCAAGCTGGATATTATTTAAATATTATTATTTAATTATAATTATTTAATTAGGAAAATGAGAAAAATTAGAGATCTGAGTTATATTGGAAAATATATATATATCGATAATGTATTGATATTTAATCGATAACATGGCGATGTTGTTCTATTTATCGAAATTCTATCACATATGTCTTTCATATATATTCGAAAATGTGGAAAAATAATGTACGATTTATGCGATTATTTCGATATTTTAGGATTAAAAAAGATATTTTTCGATATTTATATTAATCGATATTCTACTAGATATGTAAAAAAAATATTTAGAAATGGGTATCTCCCAAAATTTTGATTAGTTAAATTTTTAAATATTTAATGCAATATTTTTAATGAAATTTTAAATTTCAATTATTTTCGATTAATTTGTAGATATATTATAATCGACTTTTATCTCTTATATATTACTAGTTACCGATGAATCCGCCATATTCCTCGATATTTTTTCTATTTTCCATATTTTCTATATCTCTTTTTTTTACAAAATATATATAAAATATAAAATTTCCCTAGAAAACCTCATCATAAATATAAATATAAATAACTCACCATCTCCGCCCGTGGGCGTTATGGCTCCTGATCCTCCAAATCCATCCAGGATACTGATATTGTCCTTCTTCACCGAATCAAACTTGGCCGAGAAGGCATCAAACTCATCGGCGGGCTGTGGCTCCACAGCAAATATATTGCTTGCATAGCTGGCCACCACTGGCGTGGGCTCCACATCCGCCGCCGCCGGCACCGGCTCCGTTTCCATTTCCGGTTCCGGATCCACCGAAAATATATTACCCACAACTGCCGCCGGCACGGGGGCAAAGGCTGGCTCCTCTTCCTCCTCGGGACTGGCAAAGGGATTGGCGGATAGCTGGCCACTGGCCATTGGAAAGTCCAGACCAGTGTCCATTTGCTCGGGTTCCGGTTGGGCTTCCACTTCCGCTTCCGCTACCTCTACCGCTTCCGGTTCGAAAGCTGCTGCTGCTGCCGCCACCACATCCGGTTCAGCTATAATCATCTCCGCATCTGGTTCAGGTTCTGGTTCCGGTTCTGGCTCTGTTACCACCTTAACCTCCGGCTCTTCATCCTCATCATCCGAACGCGGCAGATCCTCCACCGTGGTTATCTCAATATCCGGCGTTGGAGCTCGCTGCCTGCTGGCCGTTTCCGGCGGTGCCGTCATATGATTCGCCTGTCGCTCCAACCCAGTGGCCGCCTGCGGTTGCGATGTAATGTCATGGGTGCTCTCATCCGGTCGGGTTAGCAGCGAGGTAAAGATTGGCTCATCCCTCGATCCAGTGCCATCGGGATTCTCCTCATCCACGGCATCTGAGGGAGTTACTTCCTCCACTGGGAGATCATCATGAAGTAAATCCGGCTTGGGTGCCGGCGGTGCTGCTGGCTGCTCAAAGAGACTCAGGATATCCTCCTTTGTTTTGGGTGGCGGCGGTTTGGCCGGCTTGCCGGTCGTGGTGCCAAACATGTCCAGCAGATCATCCGCCTCGGCAGCGGGCGGGGGAGCAGGTGCCGCCACAGGATGCGGTGGCGGTGGTCGTTGTGGCGCCGCTACCGCCGCCGCCGCCTGACCCGGTGGCATGGGACGTGGCGGTGCTGGACGCGGCGGTGGCGGACGCGGTGGTTGCTTCACCGGTGATGCCGGCATGGGTGTGGCTGCCTGAATATTAGGCAAAGCTGTTGGCACCGCAAAGGGATTGTCCAGCGGGGTAACCATTCCAGTGGAAGCAGCATTACCCATTAAATCGGTATCCACCACACCACCCTGGGCACTGGAGCCACTGTCCATGGAGACATCGAGGAGATCAGCCAATCCCGAGTCCGGCGTGGGACTGGGCGAATGGAGATCCCGCATGGAGACGGGACTGGGCGAACGGGTGGCCGGTATGCGGCCCAATAGCTCCGAGCTGGTCTCCTCCAGCTGACTGGAAACCGTACTGATTAGATCTTGGGTGCTCTGCGGCGGTGCCTGTGGTCTTGGTGGCGGGTGTGGTTGGGTCTGGGTCTGGGTTTGGGTTTGGGTTTGGGCGGCATCCTCTTCTCCAGCTGCTGATTTGAGACTGAGGGCATCATCTTCTGCCTCGATGGTGGTGCCAAAGAAGCTCATTGCCGGATCTAGATCATTGAGTGGTGGTGCCTCTGCCTCGGCTTCGGGTTCATCGGGTTCATCGCCACCAAAGGCAAAGGGATTGGAGGCTCCTGAGGCTGAGGCATTAGAAGCATTCGAGCCAAAGGGATTATCCGTGCTGGCGTCTTCCGGTTCTGATTGCATGAGAAAGGGATTGGCGGCCAGATCGCCGCCATCCAGGTCGTCGTCCATGAGAAAGGGATTGGCCATGATGAAGGGATGGGTTTATCCTTGGTTTAACCTCGTTTATTCTTATTTATCCTTGTTTATTCCAGGTTTATCCTTATTTATCCTTGTTTATCCTTAGTTTATCCTTGGTTTATCCTTGCTTTATACCTTGTTTATCCTTGTTTACCCTTAACGCTCTATTAACTCGCTTTCCAACAGCTTTATCTCCGTCTCTCCTGGCCCTAAATTCTCTGCTATGGAGGTGTCAAAGGGATCTATATTCTCCTGCGGTCTGGTGTGCGTCGAAGGCGTCAGCACTTTGTCACCTAAACCCAACTCCTGGGCGTCACTCTGAACGTCTAGGACGTCGGTCACCCTCTGACGTTGCGTCTCCGGCAGCAGTTCGTTTTCCAGCAGCTTCAGTTCCGTCTCTCCTGGTCTTAGATTGGCAGCTATCGAGGTGTCAAAGGGATCTATATCGTCCTCCTCTTCGTTGGAATCACCCCTCCCTTTGGTTAGCTTCTTGCGCTCCTGGGCTGGTGTCAAGACCTTTATGTTGATATTCTCCTCGACGGCCAGGAGCACCTCGGCTGGCACTGGTGTGGGCGGTGCTCTAGGATCAAAATCCGGATCGGATAGGCTATGCCTTAGGCTCTGCGCTAAATCCTTTTCAATGTGCTTCAGCTCGATGTCACTGAGCTTGGCCTCCGGCACGTAGGAGGTGTCAAAGGGATCTACTTCCTCGGATTCCCGTTCCCTCTCCTCGATGGGCTTGCTTGCCGGGGCGTAGTAGGGCGTTAGGGGTTTCTTATTGGCTCCTGGTTCGTTGCCTACTCCTAGGAGATCCGGTGCTGGTACCAGGAAACCCACACTCTTTGCCTGGATGTTGAGGCTCAGTGAGGATTTGCGGCGAGCGGCGTCAAAGGCCGCGTCCTCCTGGGGCTGTGGCAAGTGCTCCTTTTGAGGTTCCTCTTGCCCTGCACGGGGATCAAAATCTGGATCACTCAAGGAGTGCTTTAAGCTGCCTCCAGCTTCAGCTCCTCCTCCTCCACCTCCCGCCTCGTTGAGCAGCTCTCGCTCCAGGAAGCGCAGCTCTGTGGCCTTGGGCTGTACCAAGGCCGACACCGCCGAGGTGTCAAAGGGATCAAAGTCCTCTGGGTCTTGGTCAACACTTAGAGTGGGGGCCAAAGGTGCTGGCACCACCTGGCTAAGATCTGTGGCACTCCCAGCTAGTAAATCACGCTGCGAGGGAGCAGCTAGTGAGGAAGTGCCTGCCGGCTCTTCGGCACGCGGATCAAAATCGTCGTCCTCTTCGAGGACAGTGGTCTTTTTGATCACCTGCTCGGCGTAGTTGGTATTAAAGGGATCGTCGTCGGGATTCAAGTCCTCGTCGTCGTCGGAAACGTAGATGGCGCCGGGCACAATGTGGGGACCTGTGGCAGGACGAACTGGTGGCGGTGGACGCTTGGGTTTACCTGAAGGGGAGAAGGAAAAGTAAAAAAGGATAATTTTATACATTTTTTTATAGAGATTTTCAAAGGGTAGACTTCTTTCTTCTAGCCTCACCTGTATCCTGTTCCGGTTCCGGCTCAAACTCCGCCCAACTGGCCTCGCTGGTTAACTCCGCTGTTGGTAGATGAACTTGACTAACGATGGTCACTTCTTCCTTTTTGGTTAGCGACTCGGCAGCTAATTCAGCAAACTCGTCGTCCTCCTCGTCCTTGAGGGCATCGAATTCCGATAAATCCGGATGAAGTCCTGCCTCCTGCTCTGCCTTCTCTTTCTCTTCTCCCTCCTCCTCGTCGTCGTCTTCCTCTTTCGGCTTGGGCTTTATCAAATGCAAATGCAGCGAAACACTGAGATCAATGGGGGCCGTTGATTCTGGCAATTCCTCGTCAAGATCGTCTAGGAGATTGTGCTGCTGCGGCTCTGCTCCGGCTAAAAGATCCGCCTCCGGATCGGCTAGCTCAACGCTTTCGCTAAGCAAAAGATTTTGGATACCCTTGCGTAGCTTCCGTTTGGGATTCGCTAAGGCAACGGCGTGCTCGCGATCAACGCGACCGGATAGAACCTCAACGGCTGCCCCAAGACTCACTAGCTTCTTGTTGCCCTTGGAACGATCCGCACCAACGATAACCTTCTCCGCGTAAGCGGTATCAAAGGGATCCGGTCCGTCGTCTTGGGCAAATACTGGGGAATCGGGAACAACGGCTAATTGTAGTTCACCGCTGGTTATAGCCTCGATATAATCGGTGGCAAAGATATCATCGGCCTCGTCGTCAATATGCTCGTCCTCGGATTCGGATAGCTGGACCACAGCCTCGGCTAGCTTGTCGCGTTGAGCTTCGATCTGCGCTAAACGCTGACGTTCACGTTCGAGACGTTCTTGATGGAGGCGGGCGGCCTCCTCCTCCTCCTGCTTCTTCTTTTCGGCAGCCGAGGGAAGGCGCTGGTAGAAGGACTCCTTCTTAATCCGATCGAGCTCGTCCTGGGTCTTGTGTAGGATGCTATCAACGCCGGAGGTTAGTGCCTTGAATTTGGCCCATTCCTCGTCGCCACCGGTAGCGGCGGCAGCGGCAGCGGCGCCAGCACCTTGGCTATGTGAATGAGAGTGATGATGATGTGAATCCTCCTCTTGACCAGCAAATCCTGATCCCGAACTGGTGGCTACTTGATTCGATTGGTGCTGCTGCTGCTGGTGATGATGATGTTCGTGGTCGTGCTCAGCTTCTGATGCGGCACCGTCGGATTCGCCGGCGTCCGATTTGTTGGCCGCCGCCTCCTGTTTCGCCTTGAGGTCGCGCTTGTACTGCTCGAGCTCCTCCTCGGTGAAGAGCTCCTGGTCCTTTTTCGACTTCTTCTTTTTCTTTTTTAGGCCCTTTGGTAGCTTAAGCATTATCTAATTGCGGAGACATCGAGATCGGTCTGCAAATAGTTTTGGACACGTTGGTCACTTCCTGTTGAGTTTTGTTTCTAGTTATTTTTATTTATTTTTTGTTTGTGGGCAGGAAATTGGAGGCTTGGAGTCTACGCAGGATTACGAACGAGTATATATAATCTTGTATCTTTATCTAGGATTTTTTTTTTTTTATTATTATTGAATGAAACTGCGGGTGGAGGAGCAGACAAGGGGGATTATGTAAGCCGGCATCGAGTAACCAAGTAACTGATTAATGAGCAGGTAATGAGTAGGTAATGAGTGACAAATAAGGTGGAAGATAAGTGGGTAATGAGTAGGTAATGGATGAATAATAAGTGAATAATGAGTGAACATTGGGTGAACAATGAGTGAACATTGAGTGAACAATGAGTGAATTACGGCTTGATTAAAATATTAACATCCAAAGGCTAAGCTACTGCCCACTCACCGCCGCCTTCTCGGTTGTTATTCCGTCAGATTCTGCTTAAATCTAGGGGAAAATCTTCAAAATTGCAAAAAATTCGGCTATGGAAAAACCGCTCGCTCTCTCTCTCTCTCTCGCTTTATTTTTCCCTCTTGCTCTCTCGCTCTCTCTTTCACTCTCTCCATGTGTACCTACACATGAATTTTGGCAAAGCTTTTCCACCACGCCACAGGGAAAATGGAAAACGCAACAACAGCAACAACAGTTGAGTCAGTCGAAGCTCAAAATTCACAAACGTAGGAAAAGTTTTGCTGGCCAAAAAAGTAGGCAACACATTTTTTTGTAAGGACTTTGCATCTAAGAGATACTTTGAAGCATCTTGAATGATTAAGTATTTACAGAACTTTTAAAGACTTGAATTAGTTTTAGTTGAAAAAGCTAGGAAATTCTTGTGAGATTTTATTTAAATTTTAACCTTGAAATTAGAAAAGGGAAATAGTAAAACAAAAAGCATTTATCCAACCCTAAGGCAAAGTCACAAGTAATTTCGATATTATTATTTATACATTTATATATCAAGCCTTAAAAAAAAAGAATATTTCATATTTAAACATCAAAAAATAAGAAAAAAAACTCTTATAAAGACTTAATCCTTTACAGAAGAATTTATCAAGATTTTTTCTTGAATTTTCTTGAACTCCAAGAACTTCATTCTCTATATATAATACATAGTAGGGTTTATACGTTTCTTCCAATTATTTTTTGATCTTGATATTGAAAGTGTCTTCGATTGATTTCAAGAAGAAAAGAGATGGAAAGAGATAGATGGGGTTTTGTTCTAGGGTTTCGATTTCCGTTTTGAAGGCAAATTCTTGAACTCTTGGTGGGCGAAGAAGAAGGCGGAAGGCGGAAGGCGGACTTGGCAGAGGCAACGGTAAATGTGCTTGACAGATGATTCCATCTTGTGCTTGAAAGAGAGAGAGAGATAGAGGGAGCTTGACAGAGAGCCAAGAGAGCGAATGAGAGCAAATGAGCAAGAAGGACGAATACGAATCCGAGTCCCTCTGCCGCCTCTGTTCTTCTCCCAAAATGGGGGGCAGTAGTACTTTGCTTCTTCTTTCACCTCTCTCTACTCTCTGTACTCTGCTTTCCCTTCACCTTCACCACCTCTTCTTCTTCTTCTTCTTCTTCCCATTCGCCTTGTCCCCCCCTTCCTCTGAGCGAATATTTGTGTTGTTGCTTTTTTAGGGGAAAAATCGATGATTGTGAGAGGACGCACTTTTCAGGCAAGCGTAAGAGTGCAAGCGAGAAAGCACCCACGCACGCACACATATTCACACACTTTCACACACACACACACACACACAGTGGCACACTAGCGTTTTTATACATATAAAAACGGAAATTCATCTGTATGTAGGGATACAGAGGCCACGAGACTTTGTTTAACTTTAGCGAAATAAAAATTCTTGTATTTCAGGGTCTCGTTTGTTGTTTTTGTTTCCTTTTGTTTTTGTTTTATGTTTCACTTGATACTATAAAAAAATGTTTTCTCCACTTATGCAACTTACGTCTCACTCTCTTGGCACTTTTATCTCAACTCGAAGAAAAGCAAGAAAAAAAAAACCCGTTTCACTCGGCACTTTCTTCAAGAATATGATGTATACTTTATGCAATTCCACAGGAAATCAGGATAAAACTTGGATATAGACAGAGAGTTAGAGAGAGAGGGAGAAGAATCACCGTTTAACGGTAATTATTTGCTTAGCGGATTTTCCATACTCGTTACAAATCGCTGATGCGCCTGGCTTTTCTTTTCTCGTTTTCGCTTTCGATGCGGAGACTCTTATTCTTTCGTTTGTTTCGGGGCTTTACCTCTGATTTGAACTATCGGGAAATCTAGCACAGAATGAATAAAATGTCATGAAATCCATGGGAAGTGCTTTTCGCCAGCAGCGACGCCGGCAGAGGCAGAGGCAACGGTACATATACATATATATATATATATATATGTATGTATATATGTATACCGTGCAACGCTATATCCTGAAAAAGCTTAGCGGCAAAGCTATCAAAGAAAGCTTGCTGCCTGGCCTCCCACAGCTGATTAGTCCAAGTCATTAGTGCCATCCTGTTCCTCCTGCGGGATGCTTCCTAAAGCTTTCACTGGAAGATGGTGAAAGAGAGAGAGAAAGTCAACTACGTCACTGTTTCGTGGCCACCGTTTGACACTTGACATTTCTCCGTTATTTTGTGAGGCGCCTGCGCCACTTGTAGCCCTGGTCGATACCGTTAAGCCAAGCTTAGCCCTGAAAGCTTCAGCGATAAATTGAATTTAGCTTTTCGAATCCATGATGAATCATTGATGGAATTCACCAATGTTGTGGGAAATCTTTATTTTTTTTTTTTTTGGAATAAGTGGAATTTATTAAATGTTTTTATTTATTATTATTGTTATTTTTATAATTTTTAGTTATTAAAAAATATGTATGTTTTGTAAACTCAAATGCATGAATTTTATAATATTTATAAGTGAATTAATAACCATAGGTGAATTTATCAATAAAGTGCTTGCAATTTGCAAATTCTAAAAAATTTACAAATAAAATATAATTTATTTTAAAACAAAAATATAATTTATTTTATTTTAAATTTTTTTAGAATTGATAATTATGTAATTAATAAATTATTTATTATTATAAATTATTGAAAATTTCCCAATTCTAAAAAATTTTAAGAATATATTCTATATATTTTTTTGAATTTTTAAATGGGAAAATTTATTAAGGAAAATTTGTGAATTTAATGAAAAAGCAACTCACCAAATGGTGAATATATAAAATTACATGCCATTGGTGAATTTATCAAGAAAATTACTTAGCATGGGTAAATTTATCAGTGAATTGATAAATTTATCAATGAAAGGCTTGATGGTAAATTGATTTATTTCAAAAAAATGTCCTTATAAAATATATGTATATTTAAAAGAATGATATATGTATATAATTTCAAAACAATGCATTTTAATTACAATTCATTTTGTATTAAGTTTACATGGTGTATATACCATATATATTATTTATAATAGTTTTAGCAAGTTAAGTTAAATTTTCTTTAATTTCCTACACTTTACAGCGAGCATTAACTCTAACTAGACATTCAGAAATTTAACCTGTAAATTAAAACTTTATATATATAAATAAACCAATACCGTTTGCCAAACCCCCGATAGTGATCGCAATTAAAATCGGTGGGCGAGCAGGTGGGTGAGTCACGCGTGTCCCCATTAGCACTATCAAATCATATATATAACCCTATTCATAAATACGTATATCTTATCTTATTAAGTACCAAGTACCGAGTACCGAAAAGAACGCGGTGGTTAACAATTTGACATGTCGGCCAATGTTTGTTTAGGCCAAAAAAGTAAACCAAAAGCACAACCACACGTACACACAAGACACTCCGATTTCCGCTGAGCCTCTCGCTCTCTTTCACCGACTATATACAATAGATATATATATATACATATATATCTCCATCCCGCTCGATGTCGTGTTTTTGTTCACCACTTAAGGTTACTCTCCAGGCGACAACTGTTGAACCACCAGGCCTGAATGTCATTGTAGGACTGTGATTTGTGGCTGAATCCCGGCTCATGGAGGCGGGCACAGAGTTCGCAGAAGGGCGAGGTACTGCCCAGACGGTAGTGACGCCGCCACCAGAAATAGCTAGCATATTCCGAGGCATCGCCGCCCACAAAGTTCATGTGCAGGGCCAGATCCGAGATGGTCTCGAAGCGATTCGCATCGATGTAGGAGTGCGGCGGTAGAATGCGAGAGTAATCCGCTCCGCCAAAGACCACTGGGACGATGTTCCGGCGAAGGGCATCGAAAAGCTTCTCGGTCACGTAGTCATCGCACAGCGAGTTCTCAAAAGCCAGGTAAAACAGGTAGTCCGTGTCCAGCATCTCGTCGCAGTATGGATCACCGCGAGCGCAGCTGGAAATGGTTCAGATTTATTAATTATTTTTGTAATGAACCAGGAAATTACCAAGACTTTGCCTTAAGAAACAAACAAATTTCACTTTATATTAAAAATAAATAATAAATACAAAAAAAAAAAAAAAAAAACGCAGCCCTTTTTGGCTGGGTTACCACTACTTTTTTTATTTATTATTTATTGTTTTAATATTTTTTTTATCGAAAAAATTAGAAATTTCATAGACTATTATATTCTAGTACAAGTAAACATTAACTAAAGAGAACATTCGTTAATATTTTTTAATTATTAAATATAACTAAAACCTCATAAATATTTTTGTAAGCTTATAAATACATATTTTAATTTTAACAATTATTTTTAATTGAAAGTTTACTAATTAATCAAAATTCTATGTAGGTTTATATAGTATTTAAAAAGGTTGTGTTATATTTCTATGAAAGTAAACATAAACTAAGTAGGAAAATGAAAGTTAAATAATATTAATTTAAGGAATATTTTTATTTAAATTTTCAAATTATTTTATTTCAAATATTTAAAATAAAAATTATATAAGCTATACCTGTTACTTGTTATTCCTTATTTTTTATTTATTTATGTATTTATTTATATATTTTTTTTAATTTTTTACCCTTTTTTTTTGTGCTCCGAAAATAAAGGTTTTCTGAGAATCTTTAATGGTTTTAAACCCAATAAAAATATTTATATTTTGTTCCCAAAAAATATTTCTTGTTAAACTTGATTTGATTATATTTTTTCTAGGCCTAATGGTTTTCTGATAAGAATTTATGATTCATTAGAACTTTAGTTGTGAAATCAAGAAATGAAAAAAAAAAAACAAACAAGTGAAACTATTAAAATCAAACTTTTTAAAAATATAAATTTAATTTTATGTGTATATTTCAATCTATAAAAAAAACTTTATTTTATTTTAATAAATTCAAGAATACATAAAAAAAATTAAATAGATAAAGTAAATAAATTAAAAAAATTAAAAATATTAAATAAGTTGAAGAAAATTTAAAATATTAAATATTTAAGTAAATTAAATAAATAAAAAACAATAATAAATTAAATAAATAAAAAAATAATAATTAAAAAAAATACCAAAAAAATATAAATAATTTTAATAAAATAATTTTAATTAAATAAATTTTAATTAAATAAATATTAATAAAATACATTTTTAAAAAATTAAATAAATTAAATAAATTCAGTAAAATATATAATTTACAAAAAAAAAATAAATATAAAATAATAACTCACCTGAGTGTTCCACACTTTCCATAGATATCCACCTGAAAGTACTCCTGCAGCCTCTTGGCCAGTTCCTCTCGCTTTGACAGCGTCTCGCAGTGGGAAACAAACCAAGCGGCCATCTTGGTCTTACTCGCCCAGAGATCATATACCTCCGTGTCGTTATAACCACCCACCACCCCCGGTGGCCGTCTCCAACTTGGATTTGGACTGGGTGCCACCACGGCACCCGTTTCAATATCCACAATCTGTCCATAGGGCCACACCACATCCGAATCCAAGCGATATGTCATGGTGAGATTATAGAAACCCTGCTCGTCATCCAAACGATGTTTCGTCTCTCCCGGTGGCTCCATCAAGGCAAAGACATACGCCTGCCGTTGGCTCCTCTTGGCGGGCACTCGCTCTAGAGTCAGAGGAAACATCTCCGCGGCATGAAAGACAACGGCATCGTAGAGCTCCACGGCGGGCAGGAAATCATGCTGATTGGTCACCTCACATTGGTATACAGGACAATGGAGCTCTTCGCGCAGCTCCTGAGGTCCAAGAGTGTCCCAGGAGAGCTTCCAGCGTGGATCACCAAAGAACTCGCTCCACAAGAGGATGCTACGTGTGGACGAAGACGAAGATGATGATGATGATGCAGATGATGCAGCTGTCTTCTCCAGGTGCTTGTGCAATATCTCATATTGATTGAGCAGTGGCGACTGGACCACACGATGCAGGATCACCAGTGTGGCAACGAGGACTAGGAGGAGGAGCAGCAGCGGGCAGCGCCAACCGCCAAGAACGAACCGAGCCGATCGAACAGCCATCGACATGTGCTTAGGTTGGCTAGATATGGAGCACCGAGCACTGGGGCACTGAGCACGGAGTCACAGTGGGACCTAGACAAAGTGGATTTACCTCTAGTCTTGATTTTCTAATAAATCTTTGACATAATATTTTTTTAGATTTAAAATTACAGGGTTTAGTTTTTTTATTATTTTTTTTTTAGAAATTAAAATATATTAAATAATTAAAATAATTAAATAAATATTAATATTATATATATTTACCATAATATTTTTTTAGAAATTATTGTTTTATTATATATTTTAATTTCTTAAAAAATTAATTTACAGTTTTTGCTTTTTTTTTTTTTTAATTTAATTTTTATTTTTAAATTGCAAGTTTATAAAGTTTAGTTTAGTTTTTCATAGGCAGTCTCCACTGTAGTCATAGTGCTAGTTCCATTTAGAGAAAGGTGCGAGGGCGATAAGGCAACGGGCATTATTGATTGTCCGGCCGATAAGTCCGGGAAACTCACAACGACTCACACTCCTCTAGGCTGGGTAAACATAGCTCCAGATTAGCGATATCGTGAACCCACTTCCAGTGCCGGTCCTCCTCCTCCTCCCTCCTGCTCCTGCTCCTTCTTCTCCTCCTGCTTCTCCTCCTTCTCCTCACATGGCCAGCGAATGACTGACATCCAGGCAACGCTTGAAGATCCTGGTCAGCAACGTAAACACCACCACAAAGCCATAGACCAGAAAGGTCTTGAGCAAATGCAGCAATTGCTTCATTCTCCGGCAACAACTGGGAACCAAATAAGTGACCTATACTTTCCGCCGTGACTTCTGACTCAGGCAAAAAAATTAAAAAAAAAAAAAATGGCAAAGGTGTGGGGTTTGTTGAGTACCTTTTCCTTCCCACCTGTGGAAACCCGCACAGGTGTCCAAGCGGCGGCGGCGGCCGTGTAATTGCAGTTTGACTATAGGACCCCCAGAGCAATCTCTCTCTCTCTCGCTGTGTGGTCATTACATTAATGCACTATACTCCTTCGTCCTGCTGTCCCCGGAATCCAAAATTAATGGCCCATTGTCATGAACCAAGGCGAGCGAACACTCAAATTACAGCGATTTCCCTAATTTCACTAATATGTTTATATTTACCCATTGGCCCACTTGTGGTTTGACAGCAACAGGACCAAAAGGACCAAAAAGGACCACCAAGGACCACAGCCATCATTAGCCATCACATCGGTGTGTAATTAGCTTTCAATTATTCCGTCAATCGTTGGGGCACAAACAAAGGACCCACCAAAAGCCGAGAATTAATCGGTTTCGAATAGCAAAAGTTCAATTTGTTGGATACTTTTTGCTTGCTTGTTCTTTTTTTTTTTGTGTTTTATACCCTTCCTAAAGTCATTCTTAATAATATAATTATCTTAATAATATAATATCAAAAATTATTATTGAATTTTAATTTTAAATATTTTTTTTTTTTCAAAATGTTGTTATAATTTTTTTTTAAACTTAAAATTTTTAAAGATTTTTAAAAATAAAGTGAATATAAATAGATAGATGGGGTTTCAATAATATTTAAATAAAAATTTTGAATAATTTTTAAATAAATTAATTTAAAAAAATAATAATAATAACTAAAAATCCCTTGGTTGGCACTATAATTCCCAACTAGTTCTAGCATTTTCTGTGTGATAACCCAGCTGAATGTTGAGATAAAGTGGTAGAGGTAGGGTGGTGGTGTGTTGGTGTGATAGTGTGGTACTGTTTACTCTCTTTTAAAAGAGCTGCTATTTATTTTGTTGTTGTGTTTTTTCAGTGTACCCTCTCTATTGGAGAGAAAGATAGAGAAAACGAGCAGATATCACTGGAGAGAGTTTGATATCAAAGAAAAATCAAGCAGATTGAATAATCATAGGAAGAGGGATTAGACAAGTGTGAGTATAAAAAAAAATTCTTTTAAGCTTCTAAATTAATTAATTATTTAATTAATTAATAACTATTTGTGGTAAATAAAATAAATTTTAAATCATTTTAAAAACAAATTAAATTATATTTTAAAGGGAAATGTTAACTTTTAAGAACCTAATTTGTGGTTACATATGTATATTACATATAAATTTGAATAAATCTTAAAAATTATAGTTACATAAGTAAGGAATATTTAATAAAAAAAATATAATAATAGTAAATAATATAGCCTCAAGTTACTATATTATCATTCATTATTTAAACTTAAGCTGATTCAGCTCGAAAAAGCCCCGCCCCTTCAGCGCTTATCAGAAGCAAAAAAACAAAAAAACCAGATAAGTGCTAGTACATGATAATTTATTGCTTGGCGCACACAAAGAGCTGAAGAATAAATCGAATGTCCGAAATGGCAAACTCGAAATTTCGCATACAAACTACAAAACGTACATAAATTTTGGGGGGGTGCCGAGAAAACAAAACGATAAACAATATCTGAGCAATTTTTGTTACAAACAATGAGGATCACATACAATACAAGGGGTTAAGGATACGTTTAGGTTGATAACAGAAACACACGCGCTATAAGTAGATAATATATATACACAGGATGGTAGAACATCGGCTACAGGTCTACTAGTACATTGTTGTTGTTTTCTTGTTTTTTATGATTACTATTTTATATCACAATGGGACGGCGGCGGCTAGATGCCGCAGCAGGATCGCTGGCCGACGGTATCCCCCTGACCACCTGGCGTCGTCGTCTCTGATTCATCAGAGACGCTCACCGCATCCGCATCACCGTTGTTGGCATTTTGCAAACGCAACGGACTCGCATCTGGTTCCCGCTGGCTACGCTGCTCGAGCATAAGGCGTGTGAGTAGCTCAAAGAGCTCCGTGACACCCTCGTTCTCCTTGGCCGACGTCTCTACATATTGGGCACCCACGGTGCGAGCATATTGCAATGCCTCTGAATACTCCACGGCCCGTTGCTCCTCCAAATCAGTCTTGTTGCCCACAATGACCAGGCCAATTTCGGTGCCGCGCATCTGGCGTAATTCTCGTACCCACGATTTGACCTTTTGAAAGGAATCCTGATCGGTGATGTCGTAGACAAGCAAAGCGCCATCACTGCCGCGATAATAGATGGGTCCCAGGGCATGGAAGCGCTCTTGGCCAGCTGTATCCCAGATATTTAGCTGCGCCCGCCGTCCATCCTCTAGGGTGACCTTGCGGGTGACAAACGAGGCCTGCAGCGTGCTCAAGTGTTGGGCATTGAACTTGTCCTCCATGTAGCGCAGCACCAGTGACGTCTTGCCCACGCAGCCTGTAGCAACAGCAGCAGCAATTGGATTATATTAGTTTTTTTCCCCCCACACACCTGACGACGAAACAAACGCACCTTCGCCCAGCAGCACCGCCTTGAAGTTGAGCGTTGGTCCGCTCCTGGACCTGCGAGCGCTCATTGTGGGTTGTTGCCGATTATTTGTGGTCCTGTACGGATGGGCATTTGGTTCTTAGCGGGGACACGGAAAAACGAAAAAGGAAAACAAGAGGAAAATGCAAATCTCGGGTTCCGACAGTGTGGCTGCAGCTGGCAATGGGTAAAATGGCAAGGCAAGAGCAGTGCGCGGGCACACTGATATGGGATTTGAATTTGTTTGTTTTCACACTTTACTTGAATTATTAGACAAGTACAACTAAATTTGTATTTTTAGAACGAAACTTTTAAAGAATTTCTTCATCTGTCACGTTTTGTTATGTTTTGTTTTGTTTTTCACTTTTCGATTAATACCAACATACCGAAAACGGCGGCAATCGCAATCGATTGCTGTATGTCTTGGCCAGATGGTATTATTTATCGATTACACTGCTGTATGTTATGGTATATTTAATACGACGGTCACACTGGTGTGTTGTGAACAAAACAGGACGCATTCATAATAACTCTTTTCTCTTTTGTCGGTTTTTATCTATCAAAAACCCACCTAACCATGGCCTACGACCTGAAAAAGGAGTCCGATGTGAAGGAGTACGTGGAGAAGCTGGGCATGGAGTATCGCTTTGGTTGCTATATGGAAAAGAAGCCGGAAGGTAAGCGCCGGCAGTTGCCAATTATAACCTATTTCGATTTTTTTCTTCTTTTTTTCCGAGAGAATTAGCATAGTAATACTAATATATGTTATAAATCATATGATTTATATTTACAGCCTGCCACCTGTTGGGCGATTATCTGGAGGGGATCAAGAAGGATTTTGAAAAGGCCTCCAAGGTGTACAAGTCGACGTGCGATGACTATGGTTACGCAAAGTCCTGCTACAAATATGGCAACTATAGTTTTCTGGGTAAAGGCAAGAGCGGCAGCAAGGGTGAGCCCAGGGTGGCGTATCAGTACTACGAAAAGGGTTGTCAATTGAATGACCCAGATGCTTGTTTACACTCTGGCCTGCTGCTATTCTCCAGTTCAATGCCCAAGGAGATAGACAGGGATGTGATGAAGGTAAGAGATGTTTCTCTAGAAAGCTCAGGGGAAGCAGTTCTGATTGAACTCTTTGAGACTTTTCTTTATGTAATAACATCTTCTTTCTTTTTAGGGCCTGGAATTCCTTAACAAAAGCTGCGACATGAACAATGCCACCGCCTGCTTTTACCTCTCTGGCATGCACATTGCCGGCGTGCAAAAGAAGCTAGACCCAGCTGCAACATCTGCATCTTCTTCTAGTAGTGTGGCTCCTCCATCCGCCCCCACTACCGCCTCTGCCTCTACCAAGACACCCCCCAAGGACTCTGACTATGTGGTACTCAAGGATATGAAAAAGGCCTTTATGTTTGCCCGCAAGGCCTGCGAGCTACGCAATATGTATGCCTGCGCCAATCTCAGCCAGATGTATGCCCGAGGCGATGGCATCGAGAAGAATGAAAAGGAGGCGGAAAGGTACAAGAAGCTGGCCATTGAGATGCATGACGAGGTGAAGAAGCAGCAGGAGACACTGGGTTTCCAGCAGGGCGTAGGCATGCCCAACTGATTAACCGGACTTTTATAACCTTTCTTATGTTTTCTTTCTATTTTTTTTTTGTTTGGTTTTATCACCAAAACCTACCTTAACCAGGTCAAAACTCTAATATTAGCTTGTGTTTCTTTTTATTTGTGATTTTTCTTGTACATAGCCAAAAGGGGCGTAAGAGAGCGTGAGAATGAGATGAAAAAAATTCCTAGTTTTAATTGTTAATGTTATTAAAGTAACGAAAATGAAGCATGAAATGGAGTAGAGAGAGAGAAGAAACCCTTAAAACAATTCTGTTGATACCTTATACACAAAAGAAAAAGAGAAATACAAACCAGTCCTGCCAAAGGAACTAGACCAAAATACTTGACTGTGTCTTTGCTTGCTTTTCCATTTCCATTTTCCACAGCCCAACCAACGATTTATGAAACGCACGCCCAATTATATTCACTCGCGATCGCCATTTGCCATGTTGTCGTGACTGAGCGCTACGCGTGTTCAATTTAAAATCTATTTGTATAGGGAGATGTGTGCGGATAACGTGCGGTTCACAGGTGTAAGGCCATACTAGAAGTTGTACAACAAGACAACTGCTGATGTTTTGGGTTTATCAGAATTGCTTTTTTGTTTTTAATATAATTTAAGCTTTTAATAAAAATTTGTTTTCAATTTATTTTAAATTTTTTTTTTAAATATTTAATTTTTTTTTTTTTTATTAATTAATTAATTTTTTTTTTGTAAATAAATTTAAAATTTTTTTTAAATTAATTTAAATTTTCTTAAAAATTAATTTAATATATTTTTATATTTAACTATATAAGGGTTATTTTTATTACGTTTGCAGGGTGTCAAAATTTCAGTAAGAAGCTTAAAAAACAGTGAAGAAGTCATTTCCGACCCTATAAATCATATATATTCTTGATTAGCATCAAAAACCGAATCGATCTAGACATGTTTGGGAGAAAATAAAATTTTAAATATTTTTTTCAAAATTTTTTAAGGGGATTCAAAAATGTAAAAAAAATTGATCCAAAATTTAATTTCTCAAAAAAATTAATTTATTATGCAGATTTGTTAACCTAGAAAAAACTAGCATAGAAAAGTTTTCCGAATTGAATTTCATGCTTTCTTGACTTAGTTATGATATTTTTAATTTTTGATTTATGCAAAAAAAATTATTATATAAAAAATCGATTAAAAATACCCTCTTTCGGAGGGTATTATGGTTTTAGTTGGGAAAGCAGTCATTTCCGACCCTATAAATCATATATATTCTTGATTAGCATCAAAAAACGAGTCGATCTAGACATGTTTGGGAGAAAACAAAATTTTGAAAAATTTTTTCCACAATTTTGTGTTAAAAAATGTAAAAAAAAAAAAATGATAAAAAATTTCATTTCCTAAAAAAATAAATTTGGTATGTAGATTTGTTAACCTAAAAAAAACTAGCATAGAAAAGTTTTCCAAATTGAATTTCATGCTTTCTTGACCTAGTTATGGTATTTTTATCCACTTTTTTCCCCCATAAGCAGCTCCACACCAAATGTAAGCCAAGTCTTAAAGCCTTGATCAATTTTTATATAGAACTGGAGTCAAGTATATAATAAATACAGTAGAAATGAGTATGAAAACTTCAAAAATAACTAACTAAAAATATAAAAAAAACATAAATCTATTAGAAAAGTGCCCTTAAGTAGCCTATAAACTTACTAAACGCACTGTCCTAGTGTGTTCGCATCTCCCTATATATACATATATACATATAAAAATATATATATGCATAGTAGTAGTGCTCTGGTAATCGTCTCATCTACTGTCTATTTTAATAGATGGACGCTTAATTAAAATCGCTCTTGTCCAATTAGTGGCTGTTTAGTTAGATGATAATGCCGCCGCCCTCGGTCCTCCCCTAATCCAACCGTAATCACCCCACCTTGTGTATATATTTGACTTTCGCTGCTTTTCCATTCATCATATCTCTCTGGTCTTTTGGAATATGTACATCTGTCTCGGAGATGGAGCGATGTCACGTAAACCCGAGAATATGCTTAAACAAATATGTTTATGTACTCGAATCGGGGGGAGTAGTAAATTGTTTGGAAGAACTTTTCTTCTTGACGGAAATATCCGACAAGTCGGAGAAGATAAGCTTAATATGGCGATGAGTAATCTTTATTTGGTTAGACAGATTTTTTATATGGTTACACGGAAAACATCTATAAGATCAAGACCCCAAGAACCCCTAAGGTATGAAAAATATATTTATTAATTTTTTGTTATTTATTTATAATAAAAAAATAAAAAAATGAGCTCTAAAAGTACTTGAAAATCGATGAATAAAATTAACAGAATTTTATAATAAAAAAATAATTTTAATTATCCATAAAATTAGAAAAAAAAAATACATCATGTTATTCATAGATGTTCTCGAAATTTTAAAGATTATTTCAAATATTTTTATTATTATTATTTATATTTATTAATATTTTTATTATTATTATTTATATTTATTAATATTATTTTTAAAGAATTCTTGTTGACTGCAAAAAGCATTGCCTACTTTGTGGCTGAAGCTTAAAAGTGATTATACAAGCGAGTTTCTAAAAATGTTCTCCTCTTCGTTGTACCCAACCGATCGTTCTGAAACTTGGTATAGGGCCAGAAAACCAAAAGCCAACTTACTAATAAATAATATTAATCTTATTTGTTAATATTTAACACCCTAGAGATGATTTTAAGAAAATCTCTCTATCTGAAACTTGGTATAGGGGGCTTGAAATAACCATAACCAACTTATGCTTATAAATATTAGCAAATAATTTATCTAACCTAATATTTAACACCCTAGAATAGATTTTTAAGAAAAAATCTTTTAAAAATATTATGATATGTATATGTTATGGGCTTTTCTAGCCGTGTAACCCAGGTTAGGGAGTGGGTCAGGTGCCAAGCCCCGATGGCACGAGTCTGCGCTTGACTCGTAATTAGTTGATCGGTCTACCATGACTTGACCTTTGCTGCCCGAAAAATAAACTTAAAATTAACAAAGAAATCAATAAAAAAAATAAAAACGAAAATACAAAATAGAAAATAATAATAATAAAGTCAAAAAGAAAAGCACAAGCTGCAAATACACAAAAAAAAAAAAAAAAAAAAAACTAAAATAAAACACAGGCAAACAATGCAACCCACAACCCACACACACACTCGCCACTGAATAGATGCTGGTATTAGCCTACAATCAGTTTAACTATAATACATAGTTGCACATAGCACACACACAATATAAAACCAAATCAAGCTCGGCGTATAAAAAAAAGTACAAAAAAAAGAAATAAAAGAAAAAAAAAATAAATCACAAAAAAAAAAAAGAACAGTGAGAGCTCGGCTTGGACTAAAGCGCTCCAAACACCGATTCAGAATCAGTTTAACGTCAACGTCGGCGGCATCAAGACAATATACACACAACAACACAGAAGCCACCAAAACCAATCCAAAAAATCAACTCTGAAAAAGAAAGAGAGAGATAGATATAGAGAGACAGAGAGCGGCATAAGTGGCCATCATCAAGGAACGAGAACGGAAACACGATAACGAAAGATCGAGATTTATGCCAGCGAGTAGAAGCACGCGAGTGTCGCGAACGAGACGTTAAGAAAGACAGCGTTCCAACGGGATCTCTCTGTCCTAGTGTTTTTGTTGTTGTGCAATAGCCATCAAGTGAAAGTTTTGAGGAGAACAAACAAATATATATATACATATATGTATATAGTTCAATAACAGCGATATCATGTGCTTTTAAATAATATCAAAAACACACACTTCATCTGGTTAAAGTTTAAACCTCTTGTGAGCTAAATAACTAAAGAGATCTGTGATCTCTGATCTTTTTGTTTAAATTTCTTTTGCTTTTTTGATTTTCTTTTCTTTTTGTGAGGTTAAGATCGGTGGCAGCGATGACCAGGAAAGTTTTTGACAGGTCTACGAGGTCTCGAGCTCAAACACGTTGCACTCGTTGCAATCAAACATCGAGTTTGTTTGAGTTTAATTCGTATTATTTGTTTTAATTTGGTTCTGATTTTGTATGGTCTTTTCGTACTTTTTTCTCTCTCTGTTTTCTTTATTTTATTTACAGTTTTTTAATTTTATTTATTTCTGATAATGATATTTAATTGTTGAATTTAAATGTATTAAAAAGAAGTGGAAATTTGCACGCTATTCTTAGTTGAATTTCATATTAGCGCCTTAAAAAAATGTTGTTATCGATTAAAATTAAAAAAAAAAAAAGTAATTTAACCAATTTTAATTTTAAAAATTTTAATTTTAATTAAACATAAATGGTTAATAAAAAATAAACTAAAAGGTTTGCTTAGAATTTGTCATACCTTTTATTCTTTAGATATTGCTGCTCTTTTATCGAAAAAATCGAATCTTTTTTGTTGTCGATATGCATTTTAAACGTACGATAAATTTAGTTAAATAATTAAAGAATTAGAAAAGTTTAGTAGGCAGTAAAAAGGATTTTTATATTCTATATTATTTCTTGGTCATCGCTGTTATTTTTTTTTTATCGAAAAAATCGAATTTTTATTGTTATCGATATACAAATTTTTGGAACAAACAGATTAACGCCCGATTATCAAACGGAACGCGATGCTAAAGCCTCTGTCCGAGGTGTGAGCAGTGTGTGTGTGTGTCCAGTATCCAGTGTCCGTCCGTATGTGAGTGTGAGTGTGGGGCTTCAATTGCCTTCCTCGCCAGATTCTACCGCCCCCTCCACACCGGCCGCCCCCTGAAACCCTCCTCCGTTGCCGCCCCTTATACCCGCCTCCACCTGCCAACGACAAACCACTTGGATTACGTGCCTTTGTGGATCTTTAGCGCAAATTGAGATAACTGTGTGAGTTAAGCCGAGCTGAAAAGAGGCAGCAAAGAAAAGGAAAGGAAAGAAGAGGAAAGAACTTGAAAGAAAAGAACAGAAAAAGAAAAGAAAAGAAAAGAAAAGGAAAGAAAGGAAAGGAAAAGCAAAGATAGAAAAAGGAAATAAACGAAAGGAAAAAGAAAAGAAAAAGAAAATAAAGGAAAGGAAAGGCAAAGGCAAAGGCAAAGGAAACGTAACTAAACGAAACGATAAAGAAAAGCAAAGGGAAGCTGGAGAAACGCGAAAAGAAAAGGCACAAGGCAAAGAGGAAGGAAAAGAGAAAATCAACACCATTGAAGTGGGGAATTTGAGATTTGAGATTGCGCTTCATACAACGGCGCATCGCAGTTTACGAGTGTCCATCACCACTACAACACCGAACACCGTGCAGCAATGGAAGACTATTGGGGTCTTAGCAGCACTACGGGTACATAACTAACTCAAAAAAAAAACTAACTAAATTAATAAACCAGGGGAAAAACAAAAAACTAGCTTAAAAAAACAAAAACTATAATAAACTATAAGAAGCCTTTTTCCCCCTCGTAAGCCTAAGATCGAGATAAGTCTTCTAATTACACCCACAAAGTGTGTTCTCCTTCTCTTCTCTTCTAATTAATTACTGCATAGAGACAAAAGCTGTGGAGAAACTATCAAGTGTCTTAAAAAACAATAGAACAATTTAAATTCTTTACACAATTTTTTTTTTAAGTCTCTTTACATTTTTTTTCTGTTGTTTTTAATGTTTTGTGTGGCGGCGCCAGAAGAAACAAAAAATTTAATAAATCAATTAATGAAATAATTTTAAAGCATTGCAATTAAGTGTGCGCGTGTGTGTGTGTGACGTCATATATATATAGTCAAAAACTATATTATCATTATTATTATTGTTGTTATTGTTGTATATTTTTGTACAGACATCTCTATATTTATATACAGTTCTCTTTATGCCCCCGCGAGTGTGTTTGTTTGTGTGTGTGTGTGTGTATGGTGTGTGTTTGGTGTGGTGTGTGTGTGTGTGTGTTTGTGCGCGTAAACTAAGGCATATGGATCAATTGTCTAAATTGGCTCATTAAGTGAATCTTAATGACATTTACTATGCACAGTGTGCCCTGTGCTTGGCTGTTGGTTTTATTCGTTATTCTTTGGCTCTTTCTTACACTATATATTTAATATATATATTTTTAAAATATTTTACATATTTTATGTATATTTTGTATAATTTGTTGTGCACTTACCATTTTGTTTTCCTGTGTTCTCTGCAATTTTGCCTACCTTTTTTCTCATGTGCAACGTGGCGTATGCGCAATCTTGGGTTAGAATAAATTCAACTGGAAAGTAAAATGTTGATAACAGTTTTTAATAAATTATAAAATATATTAAAAGTAATATTTAATTCATAAAATTTATTTTTTAAGGGGAAACAGTCTACCTAAATATTACCTTTTTTTAAAGATTTTTTTTTTATAATATAAAAATATAAAATATTATAAGCTAAGAAGTCTAAATTAAACAAAAAAAATTGTTTACAGTTTTTAATAAATTAGAAAATATATATTAACTGTAAAGTAAATGAATAAAATATACATTTTTTTAAGGGAAAACAGTCTTCCTAAATATTACAATTTCTTGTAAGACTTTATTTTATTAATTTTATATGAAAATATATATTTTTATAAGCAAAGCAGTCTAACTTTTTTTAAAATTATTTTTTCAATTTAAGGAATAGATTTATTATTTATTAGAGATATATTTTTTTATTATTTTATTTTATTATTTTTTTTTATTTATTTATTTATTTATTTATTTAGTTATTTATTATTATTTTTTTTTTTATTTATTTATTTAGTTATTTATTATTTTTTTTTTTTTTTATTTATTTATTGAGTTATTTATTTTTTTTTTGTGTAATCGATTGGCACAAAATGGGCGTAATGAATCGTAATCGAATATGTCTTTGTGAGCCACCAATGGAGCGTAAACTCAAAAACAAAATGATGCCGAGTGCACACACAGAGAGCACGGCCAAGCTGTCAAAACAAAAAATAATTAAGCCAAATTAAACGAAAATAAACAAATTAAATCTTTGACCTTTTTTTTTTAGAAACAAAATACAACATATATAAGCATATATATATATATAAACTTATAGTGCAGTGTATTTTTCTACAGAAATTTATGGGCTGGCGGCTTGGGTGCAGGTGCGGGTGAACCCGTATCCAAAAGATACAGAGATACAGAGACATCCCCAAGTAAGACTAACTAACTAAAAATGGGATATATATACACACACACACAATCTGAACCGATCTGCTGAGCTAGCTCTGAGCTCTGAGTTTCTGTTCATTCCGAATGTGTCTTTAAACGGATCACAAAAGTCGGATTAAAACGCATTGTCGCACTGATTTTCCTTACTTTATGTACTAAGAAAACCGAAATGAACTTACATACGGGGGTACCAAATAGAGCTGTATATATATATATATAATATTTATATATATATATATATATATCTGCTTAAGCAGCGTGGCGACGTACTATAAAACAATTGTGACAACGAGGCGTATACGTAATATGTAGCCGCCGCATGCTTACTTTGCAAAAATTCTGTACAAGTTTTCCCCCCGGAAAACTTTGGGATTTTCACAGTGCTTATATTTTTAAGGGTACTTTACACACACTTTCTCTCTCTCTCCTGTGACTGGCCAAAAATGAGGAGGAATTTTTGAGTCTACGCTAAGCATAACAATTAAACAATTTGCTTGATCATCCACCCAACAGCCAAGCACATTTCTTAGAAACAAAATATAAATAGTAGTTAGTTTTTTTTAAACTGAAGTCGGTGGCGGGAATTGCCAAGATCAAATGAATCATTTACCAAGCTATTTCAATAACATTTCTTAATATTCTCTCTAGTTTGGGGATACTTTTTCTTCTAAAAAAAATATCTCTAGAGTTCACTTACTTAACAAAAAAATAATAATTATTATAATAGTAATAATAATCCTCATAAATTCGATATGCTTTGCTCATTCAATTAAAGTTAACTTAATTTACAGTGATTGAATGTTTTTACTGATTGTTATCCAAGCTAAATTGATTATCATTAACGGCACCGCCTTTGCCGCCGCACTCCCTCCCCCATTCAACACTCCACACACACCACCCCCCCGCATTAATAACATCATCAGTTGACTATGGAGCCCTGTAAATGTTTATTATTATTTATGAAGCCTTATTGCATTATGCGGGCCCCCGACAGTTACAAAACGCGTTTGGTTCAATTGACCCCAGACGCCGTCTCTGACTCTGACTCTGACTCCTACTCCGGCATTATGTATATCTCAATCTTTGCATCTTGCAACTGCATCTGCATCTTCATTTGCCCCAGCATCAACCCAGAGTTTATATATCTTTACGCCTCCTCTGTAAATAGGGAGCACTAAGGCGTGATAATTGGTTTATTATCGTCAATTATTTATCGAAATTCCAGCAAATTGCAATATTGCATAAATAAATATTTTAAAAACAATTTTAAGGCCAATCTTCGATTAAAATTAGTGTTAGGTATTAGTTATCTTTGACTTAAAAATCATAAAAATTAAATTTACTATTTTAAGCATGTTAAAATCAAATTTTAGTATCGATAAATGGTTTTTAAAATTACATCATGTAATAAATCAGCTTAAATGTTATTTTTAATTTCCAAAAATTAATAAATATAATAAAATTGTAATTTTAAAATAAAAAATAGTACTCTTGCAATTAAATTAGCTTATCGATATACTATCGATTTTAATTTAAAATTTATCAAGGCTTTTAATTGATTTTAATTTTTGGCATTTCAAAATTTAATCAAATTTTGATATTTATCGAATTTTAATATCGATAAATTATAATCAAAAATATTTCAAGAATAAGTGAACTTAAAATAAACTTTTCTACTTCCCAAAACTACCTAAATAAGCAATGTTTTTATTTTAAATTATAATTTAAACCTGTTTCTTAAATATTTAACTTATCGATTGTTTATCGGTTGTTATTAGATATATATATAGCTAGGTTTTATTTAAAAATGATCATAAATAAGATAAAGAACCCTCGAAGGAACCTATTTCCCAATCGTTTGTAATTATCGATCACTAATCCGCTGCGTTAATCGATAATGATGATGATGATGATGATGATGATGATGATGATGATGATGATGATGATGATGATGATGATTCGATTGACAAAAGCGGCGACCAAGCACACAATTAGTTTGATTGGGTCAGATATACAATGGCGTTTCATATGCCTGACTGATTACTGTCGTCTAATTATTGAATATATCTCGACCTACGGTCAGGCTCTGCATTTGTAACAGTAGCTGTATTTATAGCTGTATCTGTATCTCGAAATGTGTATCTGTATCTGTGCCGGTCTCTATGTCTCTATCAAAACTTATGCCGGACCAATCGATTGTTATTATGGGTGGCTGCTGCTATTGTGACTGGCTTTAGCCGTTGTGTTTGGTCAGCTCAGCATTTATTGTTCCAATTTGCGGCTCCAAGTCGTATAGTGCTTCTTGTTCTCGGCACGGGGTCTACTCTCAGGTGCTTTGCACCGCAAAAAATAATGTATACAAATAAAATAAATAATGCAGCTAAAATTTTCAAGGGTTTATTTTTCAGGAACTTTAGTTAAAATAATATTTAATAAAGAAAAAAAATTTTATAATATTATTTTTAGTACTTATTTTATTTTAAAAAAATCGTTGATTTATTTTAAATAATATAAATAATATTATAATATAAATAGAGTTTTAGAGGAACTTTTATTTATAAAACTTGAACTTCCTCTGTTTTTTTCCGAGTGCACTGGTCTAGCTTTCTGTTTCGGGATCGGTTTCTATTTCAATTTCGGCTCGGGTTTCAGTTTTAGTTTTTTTTTTGTATTTTATTTTTGTTGTTGTTTTTCTTGTTTTTTTTTTTGCAATTCAATTTGATGACATCAAAGGCGTATTTATCGCTTCCGCTGGCAATCGCCGCGTCGTTGGTGCGCCGCCAGCACATTTTTGATCGATGATCGAGAGCCCGCCAAGTGGCGACAGAAGAAGAAAAGCCGAAGCCGAACTTCGTTTCCATTTGTATCTGTATCTGTATCCGTAAATGTATCTGTATCTGCAGCAGCATAGGCATCTGTCTTGCTATCCGTGTATCTGTGTGTGTCGTGCAGTTTCTATTTCGGCTTCTGTTTTGAGTTTCGATTCGATTCCTTGGCTTGGTTTGGGGGGGGGGGCTATGTGCCTCCAGAGCTTGGGTTCGTTCTGGGCACCGATCGCCAGTTTTGTGGTCTTTCTTGCAGCGCTGCTGTTTCAGTTCATTACCGACGCTTGACTCCGCCACAAAAAAGAAAGAAAAGCGCGCGGCATTCGGGGAAAATTCGGCAATACGGGAATCGATCGATCGATTTGCATAAATTCGTGGTGGTTTTTGTTTTTTGTTTGTTTTTTATGTTGTTAGCAGCAGCAGCAGCAGTATGAAATGTGCGAAAAACTAATAATTTTCCAAACAAAATCATTAGAGTTTAATATTAAAAATAAAATATATATTAAAAAGGGATACAAAAAAGTGGAAAAATAAATATTTTTAACACTTGAATAGTATCATATTCATTTAGCTTAACTATAAGCTAAATATAAAACCATATTCAAGCAAGAAAAAATATTAAAAAATTACAGTATTATTATTTAATTATTTTATTCAAAGCTCTTGACTTAAAAGTTAAAACCAGTGAAATGCCAGTTCAAAAATTCAAATTCAAATGCCAGTGATATAAAAAATTCATAACTCAATCCATTAAAATTAAGATAATTGATGGGAGGATTGCGTTCAAACTCTTGGGGGAACAATTGCTGAAATTTATGCTTTAAAGACAGTAATTGCTGTAATCAATTAATGCAATCGGTTATAAAGATATAATTGATCACGAAATAATAGTAGGGGTAGTTTTATAAATTTAAGAAAATGTAAATAGATTATTAGATTTAAGAATAAAATATACACAAGCTCTAACATTTTCAAAGTAAATCATAATTTTTTTAATTAATTTTTTAATAAAATTTAAGAATTTATTTACAATAAATTACACCAACAAAATTCAACTAATTTTACCAACAGACTCTTCCACCAATGGGATTTATTGAATATTAGTAAATCATAATTTTAATTATTCATTTTATATTTTACTATAAATTACACCAACAAAATTCAACTAATTTCACCAATAGACTCTTTTATTCCAACAATAAAACTAATTGTATATGAAATCATCATGGTAATATTGTTGAATTTGTTTGTATAAGAACACCATATAACACCAACCAAACTCAACAACGTTCACCAATGGAATTTAAAAATTATGAATTAATTATTAATATTAGGTTATTAAACTTTTTTTAAAATTTAGTTTAACTAAAAAACAAATAGTAGGCAAGGAAAACTACATAAAATATGAAATATAAATATAATGTAATATAATTTAGTATTATTTTACTTAAATCTATAAAATTAATAACCATAAATTTCAACAACAACAATTAAACTAAATACATCTTACAGATATAAATTGCACACAGCCCGCCATCGATGACTTTCCCAGAGACCTGTTCTCGGAGGCGCAAAGACAGTCCGGTGCTGTTGTACTTCATGTTATAGCCAGTTTATATTTATTCGTAGCCTTAGCCGTAGTGTGTGATGAGTACTTTGTGCCAGCAGTTGAGAAAATATGTGCAGGTGTGTGGTCTTAATTTTAAGTTCCCATCCTTAAATATTTAATCCCTTCCGCCACCCCCTTCCATTGCCATAGCACTCAACATGTCCAACGATGTGGCGGGGGCCACGTTCATGGCCGCGGCCACCTCCGCCCCGGAGCTGTTCGTCAACGTGATAGGCACCTTCATCACAGAGGGTGACATCGGTGTGGGCACCATTGTGGGTTCGGCGGTCTTTAATATCCTGGCTGTGGCCGCTTGTTGCGGCATTGGAGCTGGCATGGCAAGTGAATCCCCTTATTTTCGTATCACAAAAATGTATTCTTAAAATACTCAATTTATCACAGACTATACCCCTGGATTGGTGGCCACTGACGCGGGATAGTATTGCCTATGGTGTCACGGTCGCCATTCTTATTTGTGTGATGCATGACGAGCGGGTCGAGTGGTATGAGGCCTTGATTTTGGTCTCTTTATATGCCGTCTATCTGGCGGTTATGTATTTCGATAAATCATTCCAGAAGTGTGCTAAAGGTAGGATTATATCTATACAAGATTACACTTTAAACAATTACGAATACACAAAAATACAAAAAAAATACTCTCACAATACTACACAGGTGGCGTGAAGCAGGCGCGTTCGCGCAGCCGGTCCTCCAACTGCAGCATACACACAAAGAACAGCAATGAAAAGGAACCAGGTACACACACAAAACAACACTCCAAAAAAAACCACACAAATACAATTTCTAACAAAATATAAATATTGTATAATTATTCATAATTTCCAGAGCTCGTAGAGAATCGCATTTGCCAGAATATGGCCAGCATCCAGCTGAACGGAGGACTCAACAATGATCAGGCCAAGGCGGCTGCTGGCACTGCTACCACCTCGATTAGCACTATCACAACTACGACTACAGCAATGACCACAACAACATCAACAACAACAACAACTACCACACGCACACCAAGTGGCGATGGAGGAGGAAGTGGTGGAGGAGGAGCAGCAGCCATCATTGCACAATTGGCACCACTAGATGGAGCTGAGGCAGAAGCCCAACCAGCGACGGTAGCTTCTGGCGAGGATCGCGAAGAGGAGGGCTATTCCCTGCTCACATATCCCAAGGACAAGAGCTGCTTTGCCCAGTTCACCTGGCTCATTATATGGCCAATTCATCTGCTCTTCCGCATCGCCATTCCTGACTGCAAGAAGGCCAAGAACAACAAGATCTTCCCCCTGACCTTTATAATGTGCATTGTCTGGATCGGTTCGCTGTCCTATGTGGTGGCGTGGATGATAACTATAATTGGTGAGATTTCAACAACAACTTGTTGGTTACTTAACTTTTTTTTTTATAAAAACTTGTCAGGAAATTCAATGTTTAACATTTCGTGAAATTACAACAATTTTAATTATATTTTTAACACCATATTTTACCAATATGCACAACAATTTTCACCAAAAAAGGCTTTTAAGGGTTCTATTAATTATAAACTCATATTATTTCAGCAGAAAAAAAATATGTACTAATAAAGTAAAATAAATCATTGGTGAAAAGATTGGTAAATTTTGTTGTATAAAAAAGTTTACCAACAAAATTTAAAATTTTTCAGCTTCTATTCTACTTCCCATCTAAAAAAATAATCATTATAATAATGTAAAATTTATTTGTTCAAGAAATTACACCAACAAACTTCAACAACTTCCCTTAATAAAGCTTAGAAAATGTAAAAAAATACATAAAATATATCCATCCCTATTTCGACTTCTCTTTCCCAGGTGACACACTGAAAATACCCGACTCTGTGATGGGTATTACCTTCCTGGCAGCTGGAACTAGTGTTCCCGAGGCGGTCTCCAGTGTGATTGTGGCGAAGCGCGGTAAGTTTTATTCCAACCTATGACTTAGTCTGAGATTACAGCGAGTGGAGCAATTAAGGATTATTTTTTTATTCGATTTCCAGGACATGGATCGATGGGTATCTGCAATTCGATTGGATCGAACACCTTCGATATCCTGCTGTGCCTGGGCGTTCCCTGGCTAATCAAGGCCGTATTTTTCCCCATACAGCCGGGCCAGAACTATGTGGCAATCAATTCGGCCGGATTGGAGTACTCGGCAATCACTCTGCTGTCCACGCTATTTCTGCTCTACCTGACCTTCTCCACGAACAAGTTCAAGCTGGACAAGAAGGTGGGCACCGCCTGTTTGGTGATGTACCTGGTCTTCATGGTCTTCGCCTCCCTTATCGAACTCAATGTATTCTTCCGGGTCAATCTGCCCACCTGTGGTCGATCATAAGCTGATTAGGAAGAGGATGTGGTGGGGATTGTGATCCTGGGAGGATGGAAGGACGACGAAGCATGACGATGTACGATTTAGAATGGATGAATGGCGCTAAGAACAAAAACAAAACAAAAAAAAAAAAGAAAAGAAAACAAGGAAACATAGAAATCTAGCTGGTTCCAAGCCCGAGTGCAGTCGTTTAATTAATTAATATGTATTTTCTGTTCTATTCTATCTACCTTGATAGTTGAGTTACGTTATACGTTATGCTGTTATTGTAATAATACTTTTTTTTTATTATTATTATTATTATTAAAGTAGACTCTTTCCACGACCTTCGGTTGCTACGCAACGAAAACCAAAAAGACAAATGCAAATAGTTGATGAGGAGAAATGAAAAGATAAAGCGAAGAATAAAATGGAGCGAAGGGGAGAAAAACCAAAACCAAAACAAAAACCAAAACCAAACCAAACAAATTCAATAATGTATTTATATGATTAATATATGAGATTTAACAAAGAAAAAAAAAAAAAAAAAAAAATGTGTTATATATTTTCTTATTTGAAAATCTACCCCCAATCATGCTAGCCCTGGACTGAACAATCTTTCTTTATTACAAATTTTTCGGTTGTCTTCTTGTTCGATTATGCTTCTGTTATTAAATTTTCAAATTGTTTGTGTTGGCCATTGACTATGTTATCCTTTACTCTACTTTCGTTGGGTAAGTTGCCTTTTTCAGAATTTTCTGGAGGATTTAGGGACTGTTTTAAGAGAGACTATGACTATGTGAGCTAGATTTTTAACATTCCTCAGAGGATCAGGGGTTTCGGTCTGGAGATTCTAACAACAGTGACTGCAATATGCCGGCCATTCTGGAATTCCCTCCTTATTTGCGAAAGAAGACCTGGTGGATTACTGTAATGTGCGCGTTCTTTAGCTTTTATATATTCGTCATTCTGGCTATTGTATGCGATGATTATCTATTGCCGGCCATGGAGCGATTGTGTTATAGTAAGACATTTTTCGAATTTTCTACTATTAAATTTTACAATTCAAAAAAATTGTTTTTTTTTTTATAAGAAATGCTTAGTAAATTACCAATTTTAAATCATTTAATCGTAACAACCCACCAATAAATTTGTAATTAATAAATTATTAATATTATGATTATTAAATTAATATTAATAATTTCGAAATAATGAAAAATTCCTATTCTCAATTTAAACTGTATACTGTTGGTGTAACTATGTAACTATGAATTTGAAATTACACCAACAGTATTAAATTATTATTACTGTTGGTGTAATATTAAACTATTAATTACAATTAATTTTAATTACAAATTACATCAACAACAGTAAATTATTATTAATTAACAATTACACCAACAGTATTAAATTATGAATAGTTTAATTAATATTATTCAAATATTATTGTTACTTTTTTAGCAACAACAAAGCTACTAATGCGACACACAGTTTATAAAATCATTGTGATAATATTGTTGATGTTGTTAATTGTAATTGCAATATGAAATTACACCAACCGTATTAAATTATTATTAATTGTATTAATATCATTAAATTATTTGTCCTATTATTTTAGTTTTATTAAATCCTATCTATTAGGTTTGAAATTGTCTTATGATGTGGCCGGGGCCACCTTCCTGGCGGCTTCTACCTCGGCGCCAGAGCTCTTCATCAACTGTGTAGGCACTTTCATTACACACAGTGACATCGGGATCGGGACTATTGTGGGATCGTCGGTTTTCAATATTCTGGTTATTTCCTCCGTTTGTGGCATTTTAACTAATGCGGTGCATTTTTTAGATATTTTTTATTTGTATATACATTTTTTTAGAATCTCTTTTTCTCAGACGAAACTGGAATGGTGGCCGGTGACGCGGGACATCTTCTGGTACCTTCTGGCCATCTTGTTGCTCGTTGGTGTCATGTGGGATTCGATTGTCGAATGGTACGAGGCGTTGGCCTTCCTCATCATGTATGTGGTCTATTTCTTACAGTTGCTTCTTGATAAAAGAATTAAAAAGTGTTTCAAAAGTAAGAAGGAAATGTTTTCTTTTGAAAAAAAAAAAAAAACAAAAATATATATCTCTTCTTTTTAAATTGTTAGAAACGGAGGAGGAAGAACCAGAGCAAAAAGATCCAATGTCTCCCGAAAGGCAGGAGGAGGTGAAAACCTTTCGATCCCATTTGTGGGGTCCGCCGGAGAAGGGTAGCAAATGTTGTTCTTGGTTTTGGTGGATCTTTACGTATCCGGCCGAGCTGTTGCTCGCTCTGACCATACCCAATCCCCGGACAGTGTATCTGCTGACCCTGATGATGTCCATTGTGTGGATAAGCTTGATCTCGTATTTGGTTAGCTGGTTTATCACCATTGTTGGCCACAATGTGGGCATTCCGGATTCAATAATGGGTATTACATTTCTGGCTGCCGGCACCAGTGTGCCCGAAATAGTCTCTTCGTACATTGTCTCCAAGAAGGGTGAGTTTGATTAGTGTGTTAACTGTGATGTAATAATTATTTTTAATATATATTTAGGGCACGGCGCCATGGCCATTTGCAATGCATTCGGCTCAAACACCTTTGACATCTTGATATGCCTGGGGCTGCCATGGTTCCTGCAGTCGGTGTTTTGGAAGGAGGTCAAATTCGATTCCTCGGCCCTTATTATAACCACTGCCATGCTGGTGGTGACCTCCTTTGTTATGTACACCACCCTAGCTGCCTGTCGCTTCGTCTTGGGCAAGGTCGTGGGCTGGGTGTGCCTGGTTTGGTACGTGATCTTCTTAGTTAGTGCCTGCTCTATGGAGATGCTATACAAAAAAAAAGTCGTCTGCGATGTGGAATATACATAGCCTGGCTATCAGTCAATTTTAACATAATAAAATTATTGAATAATGAATTAAATTTTGTTAGAAATTACACCAACAAAATTTACCTTTCACCAATAAAGGAATCTCTGGATAACTTTACTTGGAGTTATAAATTCCTTCCCGAATTTAGTTGAATAGCCTGGCTATCAGTCAATTTTAACATAATAAAATTATTGAATAATGAATAAAATTTTGTTAGAAATTACACCAACAAAATTTAATTTCCACCAACAAAGGCGTATCTGATGAGCTTTAGTTAGAGTTATACATTTCTTAACGATTTAAGGTGAGTAATTCAACAATTCGTAAATATTTATTCAAAAAATGATAAATATTATTGCAGCTACACCCACAAAATTCAACAATTTTCACCAATGAGACCGAATTATCTAAGTATTTAATTTTGGTCTTCGGGAAGCTATATATATATATATATATATATGTATAATCATAGTTTATAGCCAAAATTTAATCACAACAGAAGTGGAAATTTTGTAGAAGTAGATCTCTACGATCTTAGCGGCTTAAGCAAGGCCTGATAAAATGATTTATTTATTGCCACAGAATGAGCAACAAATAATTTTGTATATACAATTTATAAGCCATATCTTTTGCAACTGAATTCATTTATGGGCTTGTTAATTTTTAAAATTCTTCATTTTTTGTTTTTTGGAGAAAGCTAAAATAAAAAATGATCACAAATGGTAAATTTTACAACTATATCTAGGGAACATTTTAATAAAAATAATGTGTTTATTACTTATATAAAATATGTGGTATTTATGAATCTTCTTATTGTATATTTTATCAAGATTCAAATCATAACTATTATTTACAGACTTGGAAAACTATCTATCTGGACACACCACTCCTGGAGATATGATTTCAAGGCATTGAAATATTTCCACTCGGAAATGTCAGGTGCTTTTTAGATTTATCGATTAGTAAAAAAAAAAAATAATAATAAAAATAAAAATCAATGCCCTTCAGACCCTAGCGCACTCCTTCAATGACCTTTGCTCACCAGCAGATCATTAGATCTTTTAAATCAGAACTGTCCAAGGCTTTGATCGATTGAAAAAGAAGAAAGCCAAGGAGCTAATTGATTTGGCTGAAAGTATATATATATATATATTCCCGCTGATCATCAAGCCCGACGGCAATCGCCAGTTGGTGACGTCAATTAGCCATGTTATGACATCAAGCGGTGGTAGAGATACTTCAATTTCAGGCTGTCATTGGTAATTCACCTCTTCATTTGGGGCCCCGTATAATTTATATTAGTGATAAGGGTCTCGATTACATTTTTTTTATTTTCAGTTTTTAATTTCTACGGGCACTTGTGTCCAAATGCCTCAGGAGATATTTATAAAGGAGATAGAGATAGAGGAGCCTACGCCGTCTGGGACTCACATGGTGGGAATCCTAGAAATCTGGGACTTGAATCGTTTTAATTCATTTTAATTACATTTCTTTAAGGGGTTTTTTTTTTTGTTTTGTATTTTCTTAATATTTTGTTTAAATTATTTGTTTTATTAAAAAGGAAAGAAAAAAAAAAAACACGTGTTTAATATGAGAACTCTATAGGAAAATAGATATATACAATCGGTGCTAGTTGTTTAGGAACTTAATTCTTCTTAGATAAATATTAATCTATTTCTCTTGGTTTAAAATTAATATTTATGTTTTGTTTAAACTAACATTTTATTTTAATTTAGCATTTAATTAAAGTATACCAAAAATCTCAAAATAATTAGCAAAAAAAAACCTTTAACTCTATAATTCCCAACTGGTTCTGGCCCTAAAGCCTAGCTAAATGCTTGGAAAGACCTTATGCTATCCCAAATATATATAATTTATTTTAAAAATTTTTTTTTAGTTTTAAGAATTTATTATTTTATATATATATATTGTTTTTAAATAGTTTTCGCCCGATTATAAGTGACAGATGTGCGATCTTTGGCCCTATCGGAATGGTCGTACGTACGTCCAAAGCTTAACCGGACATTTTCGCTTGGCGATTAGATTGGCTTCCAGGGGACCTTATGTCCAGCTATGCAACGGTCACTATCCGGGATTGGGATCGGGTACGTTAAGGTAGGAGGAGGATATAGCCGACGAGGCGGGTGCTCGAGACTAAGTCGCCACTGGAACTGGAGTGGAGGCTAATCTTGATCAAACTCTCACTTATGATGTCCGGCATAGGACTGATAATCGCGACAAGTGCTTGAGAGGCTTTATTTGCTCAAATTTTTCTTTTTCTTTTTTTTTGGCGAAAGGAAAAGTGAAATCGGCTGATGTCATCCACAAGAAAAAAAAACAATAATAATAAAATAAATTAATATAGTATCTAGGCACTGACCAGTGTAACTTAATTTACTTCGAGTTCAGCGATTGGTGATTGCTTTTAAAATCGTCTTAATCGGTGCTTTTGTGGTGCCATAGATTACCCCTTATAATAATTAAGGTATATGGCGCCGGCAATATTAAATCGAGTGGCCTGCCGAAAATCGATTAATTTCGATCAGCACCCACCATTTTATGACCATTATTTATTTATAGTCTTTATCTGCAAAAAATCATACGATTGCCATTATTGCTTTGTTTCCCATTTTGCGAGATTGTTTAAAATATAATTTTAAAATATTAAAAAAAAAAATAGAGACAACTTCTAAAAATATTACTAATAATAATTTCTTTTATTATTACTCCCTTGCAAAGTATTTCAAATATATATACGTATAATAAAGCTCGTACTATATATTAATATGTTAGTTTTAGTTTTATAAGCTTTTCTAACATTTAATAAAATAAAAATTAATATTTATGTAAAAATATCCCCTTGAGGGTATCATAATATCAGTCAGAAGCATTTTATTATGATATGTATAAGAAACTCTCAAGAGTCATTAAAATAAAGGAGACTTATATTCCAATTACTGGGGATCAAATTGTTATTGCTGGTATTTATTTATTTATTTTTCAATCAAACGAAAATAATAATGAGTTAAATAAACTTGACTGATAACTTAATTGACTAAACTAAATACCAAGTGCTTTATTTACAAAGTGGGAAATCACATAAAGAGAATAATTATATAGATATTATAATGTACTTATATCTACGTTATAGTATATTTTTATATAATATATTTATATGTATTATTAAATATATTTAAAATAACAGACTTTAGTACATGAAATCTATTATTAAATTATTTTAAATATATAAAAATATTTTATTTAAACATATAGAATTAAAAATAATTATTTAAAACCATAAATATATAATACAATTACAACAACTCAAAAAAATAAATATTAAAATCCATTAAATTACACAAAAACTGCTTAAAAATCATGAAAACTGACCCTGATTCTGAACAGAAATCTAAAAAAAAAAATAAGAAAAAAAAAAAAAACTATATATATTATACTCCATGAACGGCGCCCGAATTAAGTCGCATCAAATCAAAAAGTCAACCTGTCTGTCAGCATTAAATTGTCGAAATCGCTAAACAGAAATCAAAAGTCAGGTGCAATGGAGGCCAGCAGCTGCTCCCGTTGACTTATCGCCGGGTTATTGATATACCCCATGTACAGAGTACTGATACCTGATATAACTATATATATGTACATACATATGTACATATATTTATCTGGGACAGGTGGCTACGCCATTGTAGGCCCGCCTGTGACGTCCTCGTCTGGGGGTATCAACGTCATGAAACCCCCGAAAAAAAACAAGTTGTATAAAAAGAAAGGCCCGGAATAGGGGGCTCGAAATCGAAATCGGAATCGAAATCAAATTCAAAAGCGTGCTGATTTGATTGGCCGCTAATCGCCAAAACGATGATAATGGCACAAAAATACGTCTCCTTTATAGTAAATATATGATTTCTTAATTATTATTTACAATCCTTTGTGGTTGAAATAATAACGACGTCATAGGTGGCTACTCTGTGAGCTAATGAATGAAAAACTAATATATCAAATCATGGGGGGGGATTTGTAACACTTTCGAAGGCAGGGATCTTTTATTTTTATTACTTCGCACCCGGCGAATACGTAATGCGGCTGTGAACAATTAATTCATGCATGTGCTCACGATTGATATAGTCATTATTCATATCCATTATATTATATTTAGTTTCATTCATTAAGCTCTAATTAAAAACAAAACGGAGCTTAGATCTTTTCTATTACTAGCTATGCGGGGGCGTATACGTAATATTTAAAATCAGTAACTATAAAAACTTTGAAAATATAGGTAGCTTACTTATAACTTAAAATTTTCAATTAATTTTTAGGGGATTTTGTGTTAAATCTATTCCTTTTTTGTGTCAGTAGAAATAATGATTTATGGGAAAAATATATTTATTACTTTTAACGTGGCGTATACGTAATTTATCACAGGGAAATGTAATGAAAATTTAAGAAATATAGGTTGCTTATTAAATAATTAATTTTAGAAAATTAAAGCTAAGAGGAATTTTGTGTTAAATCAATGGATTATAATGTAATACTCTATGGAAAATATATTTATTATCAAGTAGGACTAGAGGCGTATACGTAATGTAACTCAGAGACACAATAAAGAGAGAATATATTATTTTTATTTATTATTTAATTATTGAAAATATTAAATTTAAGGTTATTTTGTGTCACAAAAAAAAAAATTACTATATAGACAAATATATTCATTACGTTCTACTCTGGGCGTATACTTAATATTTCTATGAAAAATGTGCCTAAAATGATGGAATATAAGATGCCCAATTATTAATTAATTTAAAAAAATAAATTTAAGGTTATCTTGTATTAAATTTATGCCTTTGAGTGTCTCTAAGAATAATAATCTACGGAAAAATACAATTAATTTAATTTACAGATATATTTATGATACCTAAGTCTTCATAATAAAATACTTAATACTTTCTTATTTATTTATTTTATTTCGGCAAAATGGTATCGGAACCTTTCCCCATTAGATTCCAGCATTATTCCGAGTACAAACGCACTCAGGATAACACCAATTTAGATAATAAAGAGTGGGCAGTGACATGACAAATCCATAGACATATATTAATATATAATATATATATGTTATAGATATAATCGGTGCAAATCACTCGCACAAATAATGTAACTCGTGTCGGTAAACAAATTTCAGCCATTGGAATCCCCTGCTTAACTTTTTAATTGCTTTTACCGGGATTGCGCATCGTAAAATCGTCATAAATTCGAGCATTTATCTGTCAACAATTAGAGAGGCAAGCACGCTTGATTTGTGTCTTTAAATGATTTAAAGGGGGGAAACAATATAAAAATAAACGAAAATCTGTCATTAGACGCAGAAATTTATAGCTTAAATACATATAAAAATATTTATTTATTATGGTTACACCTAATTTCTATAAATTCTTTTAAAAGATTTATTTACTAATAAATTCTATCTTGTTTAAGGTAATTAATTTTAATTAATTCTAAGTTTATAGTGTTTTCTGTTATTTGATCTTACATTTACGTGCCGCACTGTATACCGATCAACTCAGTTAGTGACTACTGGCAATAGATTGATAAAAAAAAAAAAGTCGGGGCAATTGCTATTTCGTAGCTCTTATCAGAACGGTAACTGGTATAATAATGACTATACACAGGGCCAACCTGCACTTGTAGGTTTATGTATAGGACAGAGAGCATAAATGTTACGACTGTTGGATACCTAGGTTGCTAGGGTATCAACAAATATTGTTTTCTTTTGGCTTTTTAAATATAACTAATTTAAATTGTAATTTTTAAGCTTTTAAAACTTAAATTTAACACTTGTAAATTGCATACGAAATTGTAGCTAAGCCAATGTTGTTGGCAACATGTTGACAAGCACTTGTGTTGCACAGCAACATGTCTCAATGTCTTATAATTCCCAAGTTTGTAGTTTAAGTTTAGATTTCACTAGAGATTTAAAGTGATAAAATTTAAGAACTAGCTTTACATTTATATACCATACATTTCCCTAATTTTCTACCTTTACCATCAACTTCTTTTGAGTTAATAGAGCTCACATTTAGCATAGCGCCAGGGTATTCCCCTTTGGGGGCAATCCCCAAGTATTCACATTTTCAACCCAATGAACTGGCACTTCAAGATGGCCAAGGGGCTGTCTATCTTCCGTTTTTCCTTCCTTCCGAGAATGAAAATGGAGAGAGAGAGAGGAAAATAGGGAGAAGAAAATAGAGAGCAAGGAAAGAAAGAGATAAGAAAGGAGAGGCTAAACGAACTGAATGAATAAAATGCACAATAAAAACGACAACGAGGCGAAAAGAGTGACTGACTAGAGACTTACTAGAGGAGATATCTTTATAAAACCGTCAATACGAAAAAATATACGTCGCTGTCGCTGCCTCGGCTGGCGTCGCTGCCGCTGTTGCGGCCAACGTCGACGTCGGCGTCGCTGCCTTTTTATTATTATTAAGACGGGCGCGAGTTGGTCGCACTTAATTAGTTGTGCGATACAATTCTAGCCAAGCGGGTTGCTGGCGTCAAAAAAAGAAAGAAAAAAAAAAGAAGAGAACGGAAGTTCGAAACTCGATTCGAAAGTTCGAAAGACCGTTAGCTCGAAACACCAAAGAAAATACCGCCAAATACCGAAAAGAAAACGAATCCGAAAACCGAAAACGAAATCGAAATCGAAATATTGCATTGCGCATACGCCGCGTGTGTCAGGCCTTAAAAATCTATCAGGAAATAAAAAATAAAAACTAAATTAAATACATAACAAAAAAGGCAAAATAAAAAATAATACAAAAATAAAATTACAAGGCAGCTGCAGCTTTGAGTGTTAAAGCACGTGTATTATCTGAAGTTGTTTATTTTTTTTTGGTTTTTGCCGTTCGGTTGCTTTCAAGTTGCACTAGAAAATCGCATAATGTGTAGAACTGGCGCCCTCTTACTGGGCCTATTCGTAGTATTATGTGGCAGCCTTATAGCGGATACTCAGGCCAATGGTAAGTTTTAATTTTGGAATATAAATATTATATTTAAAAAGAAGAAATTGGGAAATTAAATTAATTAAGGAACAAATTTAAATTAAAATCCATTGAATTTGAGTTTTTTTTAATTAACTAAAAAAATTATTAATTTGTTAAAATTAAATTAAATAATTAAAAAAATTATTGTTAATTTATTAATTAATTAAAATAAAATTATTTAATTAAAAAATATTATAAATAATTTATTAATTTATTAAAATAAAATTATACATATACATATATAATTAAAAAAATAAATTAATAAATTAACAACTAATTTATTAGTTATTTAAAAAAAAATCAATTTTTATGAATTTTATATTAAATGTTTTGACCTTTATGACATCTAAGTCTCTTCTTTAAGCTTTAAAAATATTTTCAAATAATCAAAATATTAAAAAAAAAGGATTCTAATATTTTATCTTTAATTTATTCATTTTTAAAATCATATAAAACCTGTTGAATAATCAAAACTTTAGATTGCTTTAGCTGTATATATTTTTTTGAAGCCCACAAGACCCTTGAAATGTTTACCTTTCCGGGAAAAGCAAAGTAAAAAGGTTTAAAAATCGAAAAACAACTGAAAAGCAAACGGAAATAAGTTGGAAAATATGAAAATAAGTGTGCCAAATATTTGGTTAAAACCAAAAACCCATTAGACCCTATTCCAAAAAAACCAATTCTAATCGCCCGACTGGCTTATCTAGACTTCCTGTCGCCCAAAATGGCAACAATTTCAGTTTGGAGAGTTTCGAGTTCAGCCAGGGTTAAAATGGATCGATCGATCAATCAAGTAGCACTTATTTCCTGTGATTTCCGGTCATTTGGGATTTGAAGGACCACCTAGCACCTGCCGCTTATCAGGCTGGCATCTGTTTCAGTCAGTGATTTATGCAGGGATTTATATATGTATATATTTTTATGTATATATAAATTTATGTGTATATGTATAAATCGCTGCTGGTCACTATCTAAAGCCATTTAAATTGTCGTGCCAGCAATTTATTATCGCTTGCAAGTCAATTTCCTTTTTTCAAACTCTCTCAGATTTCTTTTTTGATTAGACATTATGGCCCGATATGAACACGAATCATTATCGCCGGCTTATTCATGCGAATAATTGGAATTGGAAAATGGTATTGGGGGGAAATTTTTTAACGGTCAAGAAAGAGACAGAAAGATTTCTTGGGAAATAAGCAAGATGAGCCCAAGGCCATTAACTAGGCAACATAAATAAAATATAAATAATAATAATAATAATAATGTTTTTAAAATTAAAAATGCTTAAGGCAAAACTAACCAATTTTTCTAAATATTAAATTGTAAATAAAAACATATAAGCTTTAATTAAATTTATATTATAGCCATTATAGTATTATAATTATATTAATGATTTTTAAAAATTATTAATATTATTATTAAAATATTATTAATTTTTATTATATATTATATTATTTATATATATTATTAATTTGTATAATTTATTATATAAGTTAATATTTTTATTATTTATTAATATTATTAATATTAAAATATTATTAATTTTTAATAGAAAAATAAATTTATTTCCAAAAAGTTGATTTACAATTTATTATATAAATATTAAAAATGTATTAATGTTTAAAGGTTTAGTTATTAGTTTCCTTAGCTCTTTCTAAATAATTCTCTTAAAATATTCTTAAAATAAATAATATTCCACGAAAATAATCAAAACCAAAATTGATGCCAACAATTATGGATTGCTATTACTTTTGCTAAACAAATTTTGTGTCGAATCATGGAACTTGAACTTGAACTTGTACATTAACCATCATTATCATTATCATCATGGCCATAATCGGCTTACATAATGGAGATTGGCGGAGTAATCGATCGGTAAACGATAGCCAGGTGATTCCCTAAAATCCCAAATTCCCATCGGGGATCGTTTCTATAAATACGATGGCACACATTAATATGCTATGCACAAGTGCCTGGTGAATTCCGTTTCTCCGATTTTTCGCTGGAACGATGAAAGGGAAGAATGTTACTTGGCTTTATGTTTGTTTTTATATTTTTTTTATTTTTATTTTTGGGGCACTGTGCCATCATCTGCCACAAGGGGGACTTTTCGATGATGATGATGATAATCCAAAGATCCAAAGATCGGTAATTACATTTGTTTTCCCAAGAAGCATCATTGATTTTTGTTGTTGTATTTTTTTTAAAGTTATTTACGTAGTGCTGACTCTGGATTTCAGTTTCATTTTCATTTCTTTAGTTTTGTTTTTTTGTTTTGGCTGGGCAAACAAGCAAACAAGCTGCGCTGTCTGTCAACGTGAGACAAACGCCAGACAACATGGGCCCACAAAGGGCTACACAGAAAATAATAATCCAGAAAACTAAGCTAAAACTAAGCTACAAAATCTATTTAAAAAAAAGAAATAAAATTAAAAATCACGTAAAAAATAAATTAGCTAAAAAACAAGCTAATAAACATAGCAAAAAAAAACAAAGCTATAAAAATAAGGTGAAAAAATATGTTAAAAAAAATAAATCTAAATAATTTAGTTAATCTAAAAAATAAAATATTGATTAAAAATATTCTTAAAATTTAATCTAATAAACGCAGATCTAAATTTAAGCTTAAAAATAAACTAAAAAAAATAACAAGATAAAAAATGTTGCTTACGAAATATAAAGCTTAACAAAACCCTACCCTAAGCAATAAATCACAAAAAATTATTTATTAATTATAATAAATCAATATATAATAACTCTATATATTCTATACATCAAGTAAGTAATGCAGTAATAAACATTTGTTGAGTTATTTAAGATCTTTTTTTTTTGCCCTTTTTCGACAACAGTAATTGCGGTACTTGAGTCGAGTTGCTGTAGCTTCCTCGAAATTAAAATAATCAAATGGAAGCGTCACGAAGTCGACAAGAGGGTGGCTCATAAAATCAACTTATTTTATGATTTAACAATATTTTCTTTAATTTTCTTAAATGTTTTCGGAACCTCATTTCCTTTTATGCCTGCCCTTAGCATGTCAAGGCCGCTTGCCAGGGTTTTATTTTTAAAAATAATTAATTTGTTCAGTGTATATTTATTAAACTACAAATTTAAACGTTTAATTATGAAATTGAATTGATTTTATGATGTAATAAAATGTTCTTTAAGTTTCTTTACCTCTCTCTATTTTTATTAATTTAATAATATTTAATTACTTTAATATTTATTTTGTTACAATTCAAGGGAGTTTAATTATGTAGAACCCTTAGCAACCTAATTAAAATTCAAACTTTTGTTGTCCAGTGATGGGGCATAACCATTACCATTACCATAATCATTACCATTAGCATTAACATTACCAACTGGCAGCGAACCAACCGAATAAATAATATTTACCAAACAATTATCCAGCACTTTTCGCGCTAGCTGGTAAAGCTCTTTCCTTCGCCACGATTCGCTGCTGGTGACTTTGATACAAATTTGCATTTTATTTTTGATACTCTTCGGCTGGCCCTCGCTGGAGTTACACTAATTGGAACAAAGAAAAACGCGACGATTATCGATTACAAAGCAGTAGTCGTTGGCAAAGGGGAAGCCTTGGCAACGTAGAGTTGCACAATGGATCGGAGTCGATTGATTCCGATCGATTGGATCGCTTCGCGATCGGTGGGCGGGTTCCGAGGTCTGGGACTTCCCATAATCGCCCCGATTTAGCCCTGAACAAGGCGTTGTCAGGTAGGGCTCTACCTCAGCGCCACAAAATTTCCCCGATTCCAAACCCCAAACAACTCTCTGGAAGCGAACTCGACTTTGAAGCGATCGTGGTTGTGCTTGGGTTTTCCACTATATCTCATAAGCATGGCTATGCACTTGGAGAAATTTTGGTGTAAACCAAAAAATATATTAATCAAAAATTCCTTTTTTGTGGGCATTATAATGTTGAAGATAATATGCAAAAATAAGATGCGTAACGCCATATATAGAGCTCTCTTTAAAACACCAGAGAGAGAGAGAGAGAGAGAGTAAAAAAGAGGAGAGAGAACGCGCTCTCTGAAAGGCAAGAGTCTAGATCTGCCAGTCTATTATATTATTTTATTTATTTTTATATTTTTAAATTTTTAGTAACTCAAATTTGAAAAAGCTAGAAAGGGCCCTATATGCGCGTTACGCATCTTACTCTCTAAATTCTAAATTCTACATTTGTTTAATGCAAAATAAAAAAGCAGAAGTTTCTTCGCTCACTTCCATTTTTTTGTGTAATTTTAACCTAAACATAAATTCAATTTTCGCTAAATTCCAATGACGACCACAATAACCACAGATGTTGAGGCGACAATCATAAAGGATCCCCAAGGATTCAGTATACTTGCAATGGAACTTAAGTGCTTGCCCGTTTTAATCTCATGCATGGCATAGTGCAGTATTGGATTCGGGGCGACTTCTTGGGACCGGCCCTGTCCAAGGCAATTGGCTTTCAGTTCCATCGGATACCGCAGACCCATTGAGAAGCAGTGGAGGAGGGACGGACGAACTTGTATTGTTTTGACTCCACTCGAGGACTTTAGATTGAAGGTGTGATGCGTGTCCGCCGGATGAAAGTTTTCAACCATCATCGATTCGTAGCGGTGAAAGTAGTTGTCGTGAAAGGAGACCAGGACAATCATATCCTCGACTGTATCGCTGGCCTCGCTCTGCCAGACGCTGTAGGAAGACTTTGCCGGTGCCCGCATGTCCCGATATAACGAATATATATAGTCCGGGACACGGCTATTGCAGATCAATTTCAAAGACACATTCGCGACGTGACTACAATCGCCTCTGTTTCCATGGCAGTGTACTCCGAGCGGAGCTATGAGCAGCAGCAGCAGCAGGCAGAGGAAGTGACGGATCAGGGGAATCCAAAATCCAGTGTTATTCATTGGTAATTTGTATCTCTCTCTCTTTTTTTTTTAATTTTTGCACTTCAAAATTTCAAACGATTTTAAAAAATATAAAATTCCACTAATTGATAGGAAAAGCAAAGCGATAGTAGTGACCGAAGAAACCCAAGAGTTTATCGAAAGTTAATCAAATTATCGATATTTTAACGTTGCGAAAAATCGATATATGTTCGATATGTAGCATCAAAAATTTCGATGGTATAATAATTAAATATAAAATTAATGATATTGTCAATATTGATATTTGGCGCGATATTTTTATCGATCAATGTGATATTTTCCGATATAATTAGAAAATTTCTATATTTTAAATTTAAACTCGATATTTTCGAATTTTAAAATTAAGATATATTTCATTATCAGCTGTATCGAATTAAATATTAATAATTAAATGTCAAATTCAATATTTTTCGATTATTAAAATTTTTATATGATATGATTTCGATAAATTTGGTTATTTTTTTGATATTTTCGATATTTTTAGATTATTAAAATTTTTGATATAATATGATTTCGATAAATTAAAGTTCATGTTTTTATTTTGATGATGATATTAATATTTTTTGCTAATTCCATAGTTCAATAAATCACATTTGATAGTATTTTCAATTTAAAATCAATATTTTTCGATAATTAAAATTTAGTTACATCAAAATAAATGATACTTCGAATTTATTAAACAATTGTTTGCAGTGCTTAGGCCTGCTCCCGCTGACAACTGCTGGCCAACAAGTTCAATAAACTTGTTTGTCTGCTCAACTCGGCTCCAGTATATGTTTGGTTCGGTTTTGGGTTCGGTTCGGGTTTTGGGTCGTCCGTCATTTACTCGTAGACACGTTCTGCGACGAAAATGCATTCCATCCAGATGCAATAATAAAGCCAGCTAGCTAGATGTATGCCAGTGTGCTTTGGCCAGTGCAAGTGGCGTTCAGTTGGCCAAGAGTTTTCTTCTCGGCGAGACACGAGACGCGATTCAAAGTGGATGTGAATATTGTTTTATGCGTTTTTTTTTAATGTAAGATAGCAAAAAACCACCAACCAACCGCCAATGATTGTTTGTTTACCTTTTTATTCTGTGTAATTTTGCCGCGTTGTTGTTTGCCAACTGGAGATGGCTACTAATTATTCAATTATTGCTCTTGTCGCGGCTGCAATCGCAATGTGGCATCGATGTTGCAGCAAACAAAAACAAAAATAATAAGAAAAAACCAGAGCTAAACACGCAATTCGTGGCGAGAACAATGGATCGGTCATATTGAAATCGGGTCAAGAGGTTGGGCTAGTCCCTAGACTTGGCCAAGACCAACCGACGACGGCATTGGCATTGGCTTATTCATACCATTTTACGCTTTGTGGGGGGGGCATAAAAAAATATATACAGGCTGATAAGGAAAACTGTCCCAGACCTAGACTGAAAATTTCGCCCTTCTGGCAAGATAATGCGGGAGAAAATATCAAGAAATATGTATATATATGTATATATATCAAGAAAAGAAACCCCTTCGCGGGAGATCGTAAAACAATTAACAAAGCCCCAGACCAAACATCAACAAATCATCATCATCATCAGCGAATGCCCATGACTGTCGCAGTTATTTTGGGGCCGCCAATGCAATTGTTGCTAAACCGAAACAATAATAATAATAACAGCGCCCAGATGGCCAAATAACAATGTTGTAAAATATTGCCAATCGTTTGTGTATTGTGGGAAGAATGGAGGTAGCATTAAAATCATCCACCCCCGCACTCTGTAGAGTATCGGAGTCTAATTGCACCGACAGCACTTGGGGGCTATATAATTGGTTATCTGACCACGAATCGTGAATGGAATGTTTTTGTTTTTCTTCAACGTTTTTCGTGCGAACTGCAGAAATTATAATGAAATCATAATAGTCGTGTGACTAACACACTAAAGAAGGGGTACCCTCATAAAAAATAATCACTGACTGACTGACTGAAAGTCTGGAACTTTATAGTTCTTAGATCAGTTTTTAATTTTACAATTTCTTTGAATACATATTCTTCACAAATAGTTAACAAATGAGCTAGTTGTATGGTATTTTTACTTTTGAGGTTTTTCAGACAGTTGGAAAGTTCTACAAGGAGAAAGTTTACAAAAGAGAAAGTTGTTGGAGAATATTGTCTATATTTTACAGATCTAAGTTTAAAGAAGAAAAATCACTAAAATATTACTTTTAAGGATTAGGTTTAATTTAGATATCATTTAAGATTCGATATCATATCGATATAATTTCTATAAAAAAGAGAAAACTTTTAGAATATTTTCCACATTTTTCCACAGTTTAAAAAGTCTCTTAAGTCTTAACAAATAAATTTTTATTTATTTTAAAGGCAATCCCTTAGGCTACATTCAAGCTTTGTTTCGATATAATTTCGATATATTTGTTACCCAAAATTTTAACAGCCCAGAACCCAGAATTTAAATTCAAAGATATAGTCTTTTGTTTAATTTATTGGCAATTTAAATGCTTATTTAGCCTCAAGTTTAGCTTTAATATCATTTCGATAAAATTTCTATCGAAACCCTTTGCAGTCTGGAATCCAATATACCCCAACTGGTGATCGGTGATCTTGATTGCGGTAATTGCACGGCCTGTCTGTCGTGTCAGTCTCAGTGAGGATTGTTTTGATTGTCGCTCTATATATTGTCATTCCAGTTCCGACTTAATCTTATCACCATTAACCATTTACCATTAACCGGGAAGGGAGTCAGGGCCAAGATATGCATCTTGGCACAGGCAACGATGACAAAAATCTATTAATTCTGTTTCTGTTTTTTTCTTTTATTTTCTATCTTTTAGCATACCCCGGCAACGATAGCAGTTTTCTGACGGCCTCCCTGCGGTATTTCGACGAGCAGCTGCTCCTGGACATTCTGCCACGTGCCTCGTGTCCAGGCGAAGATGAGGGCTCTCCGATGGACGAGTTCGCCGACCTGTTTACGGGTGAGTTTTGGTTCCGATAACCAATAATCCAATGTAAGCTTGAACTTGTCCGTGGGAGTTGTCCGTTATCCGTTGTCCCCCATTGTCCATTGATATCAGAATGGCGCCATGATAACCGTAATCCGGTGACGACCTAAATCGGAACTGTAACGGAACTGTGTTTGCGGTGGACAGGTTCCGGGGCAGATAAACTTGAACCTCAACTAGTATGTTGTCCATTGTGGGGATGATAGCAATCGATATCGATACTGTATGGATATATGTATGATCTAAACTCTTAACGTTGCAATATATTTGAGCGATAAATCGGTATTCTGTTTAATATATCGGATATAATATAATCGTTTTCAATTATATAACATTGACTAAAAATTATCTGTATTTAAATGTTAAACGTGATATTTTTTAAATATTTTATATTATATAAAGTTTACGTTATTATTAAAATTATATAGAGCATAATTTTTTTCGGTATTTCACTTTAAATTGTTTCCCATAGATAATTATCCTTAATTTTTTATTCATTTCCCTATGACTTTACCCATTTATTTATTTTTTATATCTATATATCGAACTTGAACTTGTCCATGAGCGCTGTCCATGTCCGCTCCAAAGTAACGCGCTATCCCATGTCCTCCATCCGTTTGCCCGGTGTCTTGGCCCAATGCCCTTCCTGCTTCGCACTATCAGCACTATCGTGGCGGCGGCATTTCAATGGCCAATAAATCAGGTGGATCGCATAGTCTGTTTATAGAGTCATCGCATATGCCCGCGTCAGCGTGGCCGGAGGAGTACCTGGTGGAGATTCGGTGTTGGTGGACACGCGAGACTGGAACACTTCGGGAATCGCTAGCTTATCGCCAAGCACTTACACCGTCCAGATGGCGATATCTCTGGGGCAGCAGCGGGTCTAGATTTTCTTTCAGTTTTTTGTTATTATTGTTTTTAATAAGAGTTGCGATAAGATTTCGCGCCATGTTTACGGTGTCTCAAGCCGAAATATACAAAGCGCTTATGGTTGGGCCTAAATTTAGGTAATGACTACTGGGGGATCGATGGCCCTATCCGTATCTAATCCATGGACGGTTGCCATGTGTGCCAAGATTGGATCTGTCCAGCAGCATGAGTGGGTGGGAGTTTTTTTATGGCCAAGTTAATGAGGGGTTCTTGGAAAGACTTAATATACTTTATTTTCTAATATATTTTCCAGTGGATCAACTCCGTCAAGGCTGGGTGGCGCTGCACGTCTTTGGGGCGATATACTTCTTCATTTTGTTGGCCATCATCTGCAATGATTATTTCCTGCCAACGGTGGAGTGCATCTGCGAGGATCTACATCTGTCCAAGGATGTGGCAGCGGCCACTTTTATGGCCACGGCCACCTCGATGCCAGAGTTCTTTACGAACACGATAAGCACCTTGATTCTGGACTCTGATATGGGTCTGGGCACAATTATAGGCTCCCTGATGTTCAACACTTTGGGCGTGGCTGGACTGGCAGCCTTGGCCATTGATAAGGTAAAGGATATATAGATAATTATGACGATATATATGCCTAGAAATTCCTCTTTTAATTAGTCAGTATTATAATTAAATATATAAGGATGAGTAGTAGCTTGAAGATAACTATAAATAGTTAAAGATAAGGTGACTAATCCTACAATCCCAATCCAATCCCTCAGCCCGTACAGCTGGACTGGTGGCCCATAGCCCGCGACTGCTTCATCTATATCTTCAATACCATTATCCTGCTGGTTTTGGCCTGGGGCGGCAGCATTAGCTTTACGGAATCCTGCATTATGATGGGCTTTCTGGTGCTCTACTATTTGATTACCTTTAATAACAACAAATTCATGCCCGCCATAAGGGTGTTCATAGAGGATCGCATGAACTGTTGCTTCTCCACGCGTTATGGTAAGTCTTGCCTTAATTTTTAGTTTTAAATATACATACCCTTTCAGTGTATTATAATGTGAGTTAAAAGTTTGCAACGCAGTGCAAATTTTATTTGTATTTTAAAATAATATTTAAAGGTTTCATTTCGATTTCTGTTAATTGCTCTGTACAGTTAACATACAGTTTTAGCTTACAGCGCGAAAATCAAAGCAAAGAACGCCAGAAATATTCAATCCACAAATGTGGATCGTATTCTGGTATCTAGCTACCGTGAGAGAGGTTTCCTTTCGTTTGCTTTTGCATTTTGTTGCAAGCGCAAGAATCAGAAACACAAAGCCTAACACGAAAAAGCCGATGCGGTAGCAAAGAACTGAGAGCGAGCGAGAGCAAATGATATTTGTATATGTGTGAGCCGCAGCTAAGGAGTCATTTTCCAATCCGATTGTGCATGCAACTTTAAATCCACAAATGTGGATCGTATTCTGGGATCTAGCTGCCGTGAGAGAGGATTCCTTTCGTTTGCTTTCGCATTTTGTTGCAAGCGCAAGAATCAGAAACACAAAGCCTAACACGAAAAAGCCGATGCGGCAGTAAAGAACTGAGAGCGAGAGAGAGAGAGAGAGAGAGAGAGAGCAGAGCAAATGATATTTGGATATTAGGGTTGTCGAAATTTGAAAAAAATATCGTATCGATGATATTTTTTTTTTGGGAAGAGATGATAATAATATTTAAAATATCAAAAAAAAATATCGATATATTTGATATTTTTGATAATTTTTTTGTTAAATAAAAAAACATGGTTTTTCTGCACAATTAGAGGATTCCTTTAACTGTTGACAATTTTTCTTGAATTTTCAAAGATTCTGCGTTTCAACAGTTAAGGGAATACTCTAAATAAGAAGACGACAAGTTTCTGCATGTTTATTTCGCAAGTGCGACGACAAGTTTGACCAATTTCCACTCGTCTTAATCACTTTTTCGCAAAGCTTCCACTTCGCTGTGCCGTTTGTTATGTTTATGTAATTAGATTTTACATTCATATTCTTTTTTTTAAAAAAAGTTTCCTTTTTCCATCGAAAGAAAAAATATCAAAAAATATCAAAAAAAAATATCATGATTTCGATATTTGGGCAAAAAAATTTCACGATATAAATATATCGTTTTCAGACAAAAAATATCGATATATTGATAATTTGATATATTATCAACAACCCTATTGGATATGTGTGAGCCGCAACACATACACAAATATCCTGTGCTTTGCTCTGCGCGTGCATGTGCCGAATAACGGTGCATAAGAAAAAGGACAAATATGCGCGAAAACGGAGAGAAACCAAATAAAAAACTAAATGGTATAGAAAAAAGCAATGTATGACTGTACTCACTCTGCATTTTGTTAATTCCTTTGTAAATCGCAATTCCATTTCTTTTTTGGCACTGGCACACCAATAACCGGCACTTATTGGCTGTGCAGCCCGAGCGCAGAATTTTTTTTTCCAACTTTAACACGGATTTTCACGCGATTAACCGCTACCGATCCCTCCGGAGGGCTAGTTTTCACGACTTAACGACGTTTTCCCGATTTTCTGAACGTTTTTCGCCGTTTTCTACCGATTTTCCTGCGTTTTCACAGGAGCCGCGTTTTTTCCGACCGATCGAAGTGAGTTGAGAGAGCGAAATGGAGAGAATGGCGGAATCCTGAAGGACGGCGAAATAAACGGCAAGCTAAGAGCGGCGAGAGAGAGTCCACACTCTCTTTAAGCTTGTGGACGATGTTGGAATGGCGTCCAATATCTACTTCCTTTATGTCCCATATTCACGATCCACTTTATTTACATTTTAAAATTATTTTATTTATTTATTTATTTATTTATTGAACATTTTCTTAAAACCAAATTAAATTTGTAATCTTTATTATGTAAATTACATTAAATTAGATATTTAAAAATTAAAAATTATTTTTTTGAACGATACTGTTGTTTTAAATTTCTCAAAACAAATTTAATATATTTATTTAATTTAATTTTCAGATCTCACAGAACCGCCAGAGAACAGTGCCAAGGCCCAATTGCCTCTGAAAAAGGATCCCCTTTCGGGCGATGGTCTGTTTGTGGTCAACCTGCCCGAGAATACCTCGTCCATGTCCTCCACGGCCAATCTCACACACTCCAAGCATTGTAAGTTTAAATATTATATTTTAATAATTATTATTTTAATTATTAAAAAAAAAAAATCCTTGATAAAGGGAATGGCGAGGACGAAGAGGAGGACGATATGCCCAAGAGCATCTACATGTATCCGCGCGATGCCTCCTGCTTCGGCCAGTTCTGGTGGATCTTTGTCTTTCCCATCAAGTTGACCTTGTCCCTGCTGATACCACATCCCATGAAGCATCGCCGTTTGTATCCGCTGTCCTTTATCATGTGCATCCTGTGCATTGGCGGCAATGCCTATCTGATTGTCTGGATGTTGACCGCCTTTGGTGTGGCCATCCATGTGCCCACCATTGTGATGGGTCTCACATTCCTGGCCGCCGGCTCTACCATGCCGGAGGCGGTGTCCAGTCTTATTTCGCTGAGAAATGGTGAGTTTAGTAACCCTTTTTTTTTTTATATAAAATTTAATTTTCCCTTTAATTTTTAGGTGAAAATGGCATTGGTGTGTCCAATTCCTTGGGTGCCAACTCCTTGGCCATTCTGCTGTCCCTGGGTGTTCCTTGGTTTATTAAGAACTGCATCCATTATGGCAGCGGTGAGCCCCAGCAGGTGGGCACTCAGGGCATTGAGTACAATATCCTCATTCTGATCATCTCCACGGTGGCCCTATTTGTAGTCCTCAGTTGCAGTGGCTATCGTCTCACCAAGAAGGTGGGCGTGGCCCTCTTCTCAGTCTATGGAGTGTTTATTGTCCTGCAGATCCTCATCGAGATGAATGTCTTCTTTCCCAGGGACTGCAGCACCAGCTAGGGGAGATCGAGGGGAGATCGAAGAGAGATTGTGGAAGCCAAAACCTAACCCAAACTTGAACCCTTTTTGGTGCTGGCACCAGGCCGGGTTCATTTATATAACTAATTTTTGGGTAGAGCTGGTATAACCTGGAAGGACGCAGATCCTTGAGGACCTACCTAGACTAACCTTGTTGATTTCTTTTTTTTTTTTTTTTTTTGTTTTGTCTAAGACTGTCTTTTAGGATTATTAGGAAGCTTCCAGCGGCGATTTCTATTTATTTCGCCTTGTAAATACGTAAATATATACATCTATATATTATTTTATATAATATATATAGTTTAGTATAATTCACAAATTGTTTAAAACCGTTGCCAAAGCTTAAAACGAGATACTAGCCTTTAAGTGAGATTCCAGAGTTAAGCAAAGTGCCCCCACGATATTCGGACACATCCATCGAACTTCCGTTGATATTCCATGTGTGTTTGCGTTTAGGAACTATTAACGTTATCTAATATATACTATATATATATGTATATGTATACCCTTGATACTACCATTGTTATTAATTTATAAATACATTCTAAGACAAATGTTAACCGGTCCAATGACTGCCTTTCATTTCATTTCAATTATCTAAAAGCTCAAGTGGTCGCTCGAGTGCCAAAGCTGATTAGATGGGATCCCTTGGGAATGTCACTGAAATATATATAAATATATATACAAAAAAAATAATTCTATATATATATATATATATATATATGTATATAGAAAATGAGAGGCTCTTTACCTTGGGTTTTTTACAAACAGCTTATAATATTCAAGATGCTTAACGCGCATACATTTCAAGTGCTCTATTTCTATCTATATTATACTTTGATGGACAAATTTAAGAGCTTAAAATATTTAAAAAATATAAAGCTTGTTATGCATCTTATAGCTTCTACAATATATTTGATATTTCTCAAAACTCAGAGTCCCCAGAGAAAGGTTTTTAGAGGATTATCCATTTTCTAGATTTTACTTCTTTTCAAGAACAAATATAAAAGCTTAAAAATTAAAAAAAAAAAATTTTAATACAAAAAATTTAATAAAAAAAAAATATTATTAAAAAAAAAAGAAATTTATAAAAAAAATGTAATCAAAAAAATGTTATAAAAAATAATATAATAAAAAATAATATAATAAAAAAAACATATAATAAAAAATATAATTACAAAAATTTTAATAAAAAAAATCAAAATAAAAAAATTAATGAATTAAAAAAATTGTTATACAAAAATTTTAACTAAAAAAATTTAATTAAAAATAATGTAATAAAAAAAACATATTTAAAAATAAAGGTAATAAAAAATTAAAAATAAAAAATTAATTAATTTAAAAAAATTTTAATAAAAAAAAAATTATAAAAAATAATGTAATAAAAAAAACATAATAAAAAAATATTAATAACAAAATTCTAATAAAAATAATGTAACAAAAAAATGTTAATAAAAAATATATTAAAAAAATATAATAACAAAAATTTGAATGACAAAAAATTTGATAAAAAAAAAATATTAATAATATAATTATTATTAAGCAAATTTAAAAATAGAAAAGAAGTGAGAAAAATAATAAAAAAATTTAAAAAAAAATTAAAATTATTAAAATTTTAAAAATAATAATAATAATATGCACCTTAAAGCTTAACCGATCTCCAATTTCTTGCAAGTACCCAAAACCCCCAAGAAGTAATGTTCTTCCAGGATTATCCAAGGACTTGACCTATCCCTAGCCCGCATATACCCTCTAAAAATTAGATTTTTGGCTCCTTTCATCACCTTTGTTGACCCAACCCTTAATTAATTATTTAATAATATAAAAACAAATTGTTTAATCAGTTTTTGGTTTCTTTTTTTTGTTTTTTTTTTCCATTTGTCGTTAGGTTTTGTTTCGTTTTCGTTTTGCTTTGCAGAAGAGGGTTTTTGTTTTATGTGTGTGTATTGGTATTATCTTGGAGTTACATCACAAATCACAAATAAATAAATATAGGTCATTAAATGAGATCAAATATTCGGCACACACACACACACACTAGCATAAGCCACACAAACCCAGATAAACATTAAATATGAATACATATACAACGAGAGAAATGGAAATCATAGAGCAAAAAACACATTTTAAAAGCTAATTAATTGGTGTGTCTGTGTGTGTGTGTGGGTGTGTGTGTACATAATTTATCTTAAAGATATATATTTATATATATATATAAGTGTAGGAGAGTCTTAGTCCCTCTTTTTTTTTTTTTTTTGCTTGCTCAACTTTGTTTGCTGGCAAATGTCTTGGAGTTTATCTTGTTTTTTGTTTTCACACAAATAAATACTTAAGTTTTAAGTCTGATCGATTTTCAGCATTATAATTAAATTAATTAATTAATATATATATATAGATATCATTGGAAGTTTTAGAAACTTGCCGGGGGCTTGAGTGTCTGTGTGTGTGTGTCTGTCTGTGGTGTGCATGCGGCGGCCTTGACCCTAAAGCTGCCCTGCTACTATTTTCTGCTCATACTTTTCGTCTACTCCTTTTCTACTCCTTTTTTGCTTCCTTTCTACTCCTTTTTCCCTCCTTTTCTACTCCTTTTTCCCTCCTTTTCTACTCCTTTTTCCCTCCTTTTCTACTCCTTTTTTCCACTCCTTTTTCATCCATTTCCCCTCCTTTTAAACTTTTTCTACTCATTTTTCCTCCTTTTCTACTCCTTTTTCCTTATTTTCTACTCCTTTTTCTTTCTTTTCTACTCCCTTTCCACTCCTTTTTTTCATAGTTTTCTCCTCCTGCTTTCCCTTTAAACAAATCAGTCTGAGCAATTACAATTCAAATGTGCCTGCTTATGCCTTGTGGCAGCTTTCAGCTGCTCCTCTAACAACCTGTCTTACCAATTTTGGCACAAAACCCAATCGATATGCCTTTACGCATATGGATGGCTGTGCGCTTTTGGAAACATACAAAAAAAAAACAAACGTAAGCTAACGTAAAACGTTTAAACCTAAACGTAAACGTTAACGCTAAGCGATTCTAAGCTAAAAAAAAAAGCCTTTATCATCTGCGTTTGCCTTACTTTTGCCAGCCAGCTAGGCCTTGGGCCTGGGCAGGATGGTGGTGGGGGGGGGGGGGATGGGGGTATTACAGTGACCTATCTTAGGTGCAACAATGGTGTCCATTCTTAACATAATAGTTGTGCATGGCCACCGTGCCGTTCTTGCTATAGCTGCCACTTCCACTTCCGCTGGAACCGCTTGAACCGCTGCTATTGCCATTATATTGGAGATTATTGGAACTGGAGGAGGAGCTACCACCAGCAGCTGTTCCTGCACCATGGGCAGGCGGATCATCTGTGCTGGTGGAGGCATCAAAGGCCTTGATGGGATTCTGGATGATTTTGCATGTGAACTGGCGATGCGGGCCGGGCTCCTAAGGGATATATAGCTCGATTAATCTAGGTTATTAAGGAGTCTTTGTGACCTACCTTGGGCTGGATGGGGAAGCAGCACCAGAGGATGAAGGCTATGAAGGCCACCAGGGTGCCCACCAGCAGTATGAAGTCCTCGATGGTCTGGAAAGGTTTGTTAACATTAAAAAGCAGGTTGGAATTGGAGGAGAAGGGAGGAGGAAGGAGGAGGAGGAGGAAGGAGAAAGGAGGAGGAGGAAAGAGGAGGAGGAGGAGGAAAGAGGAGGAGGAGGAGGAAGGAGAAAGGAGGAGGAGGAAAGAGGAGGAGGAAGGAGGAGAAGGGATAAGGAGGGATGACGAAGGAAGATAAGGGAGGAGGAAGGAGGAAGCAGAGAGGTGGAGGAAGGAGGAGGATGGAGGAGGGAGGAGGATGGAGGAGGAAGGAGGATAGAGGACGGAGGAGGATGAAGGAGGGAGGAGTAGGATGGAGGATGGAGGAGGGAGGAGGGAGGAGGGAGGAGAGAGAAGGGAGAAGAAAGGATGACGAAAAAGGATAAAGAAGCAGGGAGGAGAAGCAGAAGCAGTTGTCGGCGAAGCAGGTGTGTTTGTGTTTGTTGTTTTGGTGTGCATGTCCTTACCGGCTCCTCGCCCAGCAGCACGTGATTGATCAGATAGACAAAGTCATCAAAGGGTGTCATCCTGTGGCTGTGTCGCCAGGATTCGTTCAAATATCCTGGATTTTCACTGTCCTTTTTTCGTCGTTCACTTTGTTTTGGGTTCGGCTGCGACTTCGACAGCGACGCCGACGGCGACGGCGACTGCGACGGTCTGACGCTGCTTACGAACGCCGCTGCTGCTGCTGTTGCTGCTGTAGCACGCCCAACAGCATGGCTGTCCGGTTTATTTGGCAATTACGGACATGGCATGGCATTGGCCACCGGAATTTGGCAATTGAAATAATATTATTTGATTTTCGTAGGGTTTAATTCCGGGCTGCCTTTTCAGTTGAGGTGAGAACAGTGTGACCAGGCCGGGTCAGTTAAGCGAAGGCCCCAAATAAAAGCACTAACGCATAGACCAAGTACAAGAATTGGGGAAAGAGGAAATACTAATTACATACTAGATTTAAATTTTATTTTTTTATTGTTTATTTTTAAGCTAATTCAAAAATATTTTATTTATAAAAATAGGACCATCCTTCAAAGCAAACTTAAAATTTATTGATTTATAAAATTCGTCTAAAAACTTTTCCTACCAGTGTGACCATATCCAAAACCTGTACCCGGCTCAGTATTTTCTTGGCGGCGTGCTACAGCCACTCTAGCACTCTGCGTCCCACTATTTCCACTGCTTTCCCAAATTCTGTGGCAATTTTTCCGGCATTTTCCCTTTTGCCGCTTATGTTTTGACACAATTTCACTCAACCTAAAAAATGGGCCGGCGACGCAGCCGGGAGCGCGGCCAAGAGCCACCAGCACCAGGCTGTGAGAGCGAAGACGAGAACGAAGCGAAGCCGCAGAAGAAGGCCAAGCAGCAGCAGCAGCAGCAGCGACCCAGCAAGGCAACCACCCGCGATAGTTCCAGTTCATCGACTTCCAGCAGCAGCAGCAGCAGCTCCAAGGAGAGCCGCAAGAGCAACCACAGTAATGCCTCCTCGACGGCTGACAAAAAGCCAAAGCAGCAAAGCAGAAGTAAGAAGGCTTCAGCGGATCAAGAGCGGGAGGAGAAGCGTTCCAAGCAGACGGAAGAGGTTCAAGAGCAGCGCTCCAAGTGGGACACACCCGAGAGGGGCAGCGGTGGCGGCTCCTCCCATCGCAACAGCACGCGGCAGCGTCAGGATAGGGACAGGGACCGGGACCGAGAGCAGCGTGACCGGGACAGGGAACGCAACAGGGATAGGGAAAGGGACAGGGAAGGCGAACGGAATCGTAACCGAGAGCGTGAAAGAGACAATCAAATGCGTCGGGATCGCAGTGGACGAGAGCGCAGCAAGGAGCGTAGACCACGACCTCGAAGCAGGGATCGGGAGCAACAACAGCCAAGAGATCGCCAGCGGCGTTCCCCAGACCGTAGACCAGCTCGGTGAGTAACTAAAAACCCCATAAAGAAACTGGAGAAGTTGCAATGTTTACTTTATTATTACAGTCGCAGTCGGAGTCCCCGGGATAGAAACCAACGCGGACGTGACTTTGGCCAGGAACGCAATCGTAACCAGCGACGTAACGACCAACGCAATCGCAACGAGGACGAATCCTACGAGTGGGGCAAACAGGGCGGCGACAAAGATAAGCCACCCAAAGAGGACGAAGAAGAACCCCTGGAAAAAGAGAAACCTAATTTTGGTTTAAGTGGTGCCCTCACCGAGGACACCAACAAGGTCAATGGCGTTGTGGTCAAATACTCTGAGCCCCCGGAGGCACGCAAACCCAAGCGACGCTGGCGGCTGTATCCATTCAAAGGGGAAACGGCTTTGCCCACACTGCACATACATCGCCAGAGTTGCTTCCTGGTGGGACGTGACCGCAAGGTGGTTGACTTGGCCGTGGATCATCCCAGTTGCTCCAAACAACATGCTGCCCTGCAATATCGTTTGGTTCCTTTTGAAAGGGAAGATGGTAGCAGCGGTAAACGTGTACGCTTGTATCTCATCGATTTGGAGTCGGCAAATGGAACGTTTCTCAACAACAAGAAGATCGATGGAAGGAAATACTATGAACTGATGGAGAAGGATGTGATCAAGTTTGGTTTTAGCTCGCGGGAATATGTTTTGCTGCATGAGAATAGCAAGGAGGATCAGGAGGATGATGATGTCCATATCAAGGATGAGCCGCAGGATGTGCCGCCAGTGGAGGAAGCAGTTAATCCCTAGGGAGTCCCAAGTTTTCATTTTTATTTTTTTATGATTTTTTAAATTTTAATTCTGCTCGTAAAGCTTAAATTTAAATGCTTTTTTGTAACCTTTAACGTAGAACCTTAAACCCAGAGAGAGGGAGAGAAAGAGAGAGACAGAGAGAGATGATAACACAGTTGTAAAAAGTCTTAGCGGAACACGATTTTACGTGTTCACTGCCAACAAATTAAAGTAAAATAAAAACAAGAAATTAAATAAAAACAAAAAATAATAAATATAAAAAACTTAATAATAAAAAAGTATATATAAAAAAATATTAAAAAAAAATAAAAATACAAAAAAATATCTAAAAAACGAAATTCCCAAACGAAATCAAGTCTTGACTGAGGTCAACTTTTGAGACTGCTGACTCTAGAAATCTTGGTTTACCTCCAACCCAGCAGACAAACAGCGGACTTAGTGCGGATGGATCCGAAAAATGTCAGCTAAAAATATTAAAGACGGACAAAGATTTTGATTTTCAGCATTAGTTTCGCTAAATGCTCAAAAACGGACGTCGCAAACGGATGAATAGCGGACGAACATCGGATTATACCCGGATAATGATATCGTAAAAGGTCCGCAATCGAAATCTTATTCGGATTCCGAGAATGATAGTTTTTGCTGCTACTGTCTTATCGTTCTTGAGCTTAAAATCGTAGGTTTTATCCGCCTGAGATCCGTAACACTTCCGTTTTTTAATATTTTTTGTCATCAAGTTTTTGTCTGCTGGGTAGCTTCACCTGTAGCTCTACCTTTAGCTTTACCTCTAGCTTTACTTTTGCAACTTCAACACTTGTTAACCTGACTTCATCATGCACTGGCCAGCGTTTTTCATCATCTTCTCGTTGTTTGCCTTGGCTGCCCCTCAGGTGTTGTTGCGTCGTCGTCAGGTGGTTACACCCACCTGGCTTATGGGTCCTAGCAGGCCCAACTCCAATGCAGGAGCCCCCAAAGTACAGGTCACGCAGCAGAACCTCAGGGAAGTGGCCGCCTGGCGAGCTGTTATCCAAAAGGCTGTCGATGAGGGCACCTATGTGGTAGCCGCACCTCCACCGCAGGTGAGTAAGGGAACAATTGGGAGGAGCATTGTTTTATTTATTTATTATTATCTGGAGTTGGTTTGAAATCTTAAAATTAGAGGGTTACAAAAGAAAAACCTATACACTAAGCATTTTAAGACTTTAAAAAACAAATTTAATTTTACAAAATATAAAAAATACAAAAACAAAACCCACATATTGTCTGAAATTAAATATTAAAAAAAACAAAAAAAATAAAATAAAACAAATCCTAGACTTTGCAGGAAATTTAATTTTAATAAAAAAAAAACAAATCCTAGATCAGAAATTAATTATACAAAAATCTACACATTTTGAAAAAAAAAAAAATGTAATTATAAATTAAAAAAAAAAACAAATCCTAGACATTGTCAACAATTAATAATAAAAAAAATCAAAACCTACACATTATCTTAAATTAAATGAATTCTTACAGAGAAAACTTGTTAAAAAAAATTGTTTTAATTTTTTATTTTTTTTTTTAAATGTTAAAATTTTGATAAATTAAAAAAGAAAACCTTTTTTTTCATTATAAATTAGTATAAAGATTTGTAAACCTAAAAAAATAAATAAATAAATATTTATATGTTTATTATAATATATTATATTATTATTGTATTATATAAAACCCTTTTTATATATATCCCTTTTGCTTATTTTTTCCCCTAGGAGTTTATAGCGAGCCTTGGTGGCAGTTTTCCATCACCCTTGCCACAGTTTTGGGCACCTGCCCCCATACCAGCCTTCAACTTTACCTACATTTGGCCCAGATTTGGCTAAGCCATCACGACTGTAATTAATAATTAATTAAAATTAATTAATTACAATTTATTATAATTTAATTATAATTGAATATGGTCATAATTAATTTTAATTAAATAATGATAAAAAATAATTCGTTAATTATTATTTATTATAATTTAATTATAATTAAATATAATTAATTAATTATAATTAAATTATAATAAAAAAATATGTTTAATTATAATTAAATTATTATTTATAAATATAATTTTCCTACTCTGCCATAAATATATTCACCTTCATTTTTCCATAATTTATAACTATAATTATAAAAAAAATGTTTTATATCATGTTTATAGTAGCATATACTATAAAGGTATTATGGGAAATATGCCATAAATAATATTTCGTCATAAAAATATTTCGTATATCGTAAAAGTTGTATACTAAGTATAAGCCATAAAAAAGACATTTCTAACTGCCATAAAAAGGACATTTCTCACTAAAACATCCCTTAATCTAAAGCTTTCACAAAATTTCCTTAAAATCCTTAGAGCTTTCCCCATTTAGCTTTTAGTATTCTGTAAACAAAATTCGTGTTCAATCTGAAACATATTTTCAGTAACTGCACTTTTTTTGTGGTCTATAAAATTTTTAAGTTACCCGAAAGCGATTTAATTTAGCGATTGTTATTTTATCTTTAAGAATTTTTCTAACTGACTTGGCTTGGAAAATTTAGAGATTTCTGTTTGTGGCTTAAAGTTGATTGGTTTTTTGTAAAATAAATTGTTGGATATTGTTATTTAAATAAATATATAAATAATTTAACAACTATAAATAATATTTTAATATATATAAACAAATTTAGCAACTTTACATTTAATTTGTACATTTGATTATTATTTTTTATATTTTATATTTTCATTATATTTGTATATATATTCTAAAACTTAAAGTACTCTATATCTTGGACAAGGCCAAGACTTCATAAATGAAAGTGAGTAGTTCCGGCACCTGTCTGCACCGGCCAGGTGTTAATTGTTTCTGTTAATTGGACTGCCAGGAGACCCCAATTCGACCCCTAATCGAATTTGAAACCACAGCCAATTATGTTCCGGAGAAGTGCAACTGCAGTCGCCTGCACTCGCCTCCGTTCTTGGCCGCCAATTTTCAGCGGTTTGGGGCTTTGAAATGGTGCGTTGCACTAATTGAATATTAGGAGGTGGAAAGGTAGAGGAAATAGAGGTGGGAAACTTACCTGAAATCAATGGATTTTCAAACCTTTGGAAGAGAGTTTTTTACTTTCAGTTTTCTTAAATTTCTTTTTAATTGCTCTTTAATTTCTTTTTAATTTGTCTTTAATTTCTTTTTAATTTTCCTTTCATTTTCCTTTCATTTCCCAAATTATTTATTAAAATATTTAACATAAATAAATGTATTAAGTAAAATTATACAATTTAAATGCATTCCCTTTAAGTTTCTTGGCAGTGTTGCCTGTGCTAAAACGAAAATGAAACCCAAATGGCCTTGAGAGTGCGTGTGTGTGTGTGTGTGTGTGGGTAGGTGAACTTCCGGTGGGTGGCCACCCACCAGGTATGCAGCACCTTCTCCTCCCCGCTCTTCTCGTTGCTGTCCTGTCTGAAATCTCAGCCAGATCCTGAGCGAGGATAATATTTTCCGCTGCCTGGCCTGGGCTCTCTTTTGTTCCGGCAGTCAGCCAACGGAACCGGAAGCGGAAGCAATACACACACACACACACACATACAGCAGGTGGTGGCATTGAATTCGAGGCACTTTCGCTTGACATTCGACTTTTGGTCCTTGGGCCCTAGGACCTCTTAGCGAAAAGAGTTCATCATGAAGATCCCATATCTTATTAAGTGGGTCATGCCGCGAATTAAGCCCTCGAAGATACCGCATTTAGGGCCTCCTCGCCGGGATATTAAGTGTGAAAGGCAACACAAGTGCGGCAGGCAGGCAGGCAGGACGAGTGGGAGTAGGGATACCACTGAATGCTGAATGCTGGGGATTGTGGATGTGCGGTTAGGGGCTGTGGGCATACAAAACTTTTTCAATTATAAGCGCTTTGAGAGATAAGGCGGCATACCGCCAACAGAAGCAGACAGGATAACAAGGAACAAGGATGGTAATCGAAGAAGGGAATACCCTGGAATGCCAACTAAAAAACGGATTATAAAATATATAAAATAATACTAATAAATTACCTACGGTAAATCCTCTTGCATTTAGTAAAAAAAAATAACAAGTCCTGACAAGATTTCTTGTGGCTCAAGTTTCTTTTTTTTATTTATGGCAGGATCAACATTATAACATATATTCTTCTCAAAATCTTCATGATTTTCTATAAAATAGTAGCAATTTCTTTAAGTAATAGCTGGCTTATCATCCTCGCTGGCTTCCTTCTGCTCCTCGCTGGTCTCCTACTCTTCCAAGACATCCTTCTGCTCCTCCCTGGCTGCGATCTTTTCTTTAGACTCTCCATTATAATCGCCTCTATCTGACCTTCGCTTGACGCCCTTGGCCACATGCAGCAGCTTAGTCAGCGAGCGAAGATTCTGCTCCAGGACTTTATCGGCCAGCTTGCGGCTTATCTTTTTATTCTTCAGCAGATGTGCCAGGGTCTCTCGTAGAGTCGAGCACAGAGTCACGAAGCTGGGCATCCTGGAGGAGGGAAGAACCAAGAAAAAGCTAAATGCAAACGAAATAATCTTTTTTTTTTGGAAAAATTCAGAATCTAAAAGTCATTTAGGCTTAGAGAGGAGTATTGTTAAGATTTGTAATCGATTGTCAATAGATGTTTTTAAATACAAAACATCGGTAACGAGCAGTAAGCTACAACCCTAAGTGAAATTAAAACAAAAAAATATATAGAAAAAATTATAATAATAATAATAATAATGATAATTAGGTAACATAAAATATATATATTAATATAATATAAAATGACATAATAGGTATTTCTTACTTATCTAAAGACTTAAAATTATATCTTAAATATTTATATATAATAATATACAAGAATAAATTATTTAAATAAATTATTTATACATAAACTACATAAAATATCCCACCTGCCTCCGTAGCCAATTATACCTTCACTGCCAAACGCCTGTACAGGGTATCAAAGCCGGCGAAAAGCACAACTGACCGCAACTCAACCACCGCACAAAACGCACAGATGACGCGCACATGGCGCACTTTATATATTTAATATTTATTTGAATAATCTCGTTAGGTTCTTGTTTTTTGTTTATAAATTGCGCCAACATATGCAATTTTTTTCGGGATATTTGGAGGGTTATAAAGGTAACTTTGAAGGAAATAACTAAAGTTGCAGAGCAAACTGGATTATAAGTTCTTGCTAGAATTAACTGTTATTAAAATTAATAAATTATTATTATTAAATAAATTTATTTTCATAATTACACTATACATATACATATATTATCTACAAAATATAGAATATAGTATAGTGTTTTCTGAGTCTTGTTTTCAGCGATATTCCCATCTTAACAGGGTTTAAATACATTTTAGAATTAAGAATTCCAACAAAAGGCTCGCAGCAAAAAAACAACTCCCCATTTTCAACTCAAAATTTAAAAAAAGTTTAATTATAATATTAACTCGTTTTTATTATAAAAAGAAATGTAAAGCCCATCATCATCTACGGCTTAATTCACAAATACTATTGCCATTCTGCTCGCACTTACTAGGCTAAGTCCGTCTCACTTGCACTCATTGTTGTGACCTTATCATGGCGTGATTTTAGCAGAGCTTCCAAAAATGGCTGGCCCATAATGCTCTCTCGCTCTCGCTCGCTAATTTTAAGTCTACCTCTCCCTCCCACTTGATCTACCTCTCCCTCACAGGTGAACACGAGGGAGAGAGGTTGAATTGAGAGCAAAGCTGAGGCAGAGCTATGAGCAGAGCCGGGAGCAGAGCTGAGAGCAGAGCCGAGAGCAGAGCTGAGAGCAGAGCCGAGAGCAGAGCTGATAAGCGAGCTCAGCTCGCGAACACACACACGCACACCTGCTTATCAGCTTATCAGCTCCGCTCAGCTCTCAGTGTGTTTCAGTCGATCAAGCTCTCTCCCTCTGGCTACCTAATATACAGGTACCTCTACCACCGCAGCTTCAGTTTGTGCGCGCTCTCCCTCGTGTTCGTTTTAACTATCGCGTATGTCAAGCCATCTGGCAGACCCCTGGAAGGGTACCGTTTCGCTGGATAAGTGCAAGTTCTTTTTGCAATTGAGTAAAATAACCAAAAATCATTGCAAGCGAAGGAATTAAACATGATGAATCGCAACCAAGCCTGCGGACTAAAGATAAAGGGTAACTGAGCGCCTCCCCTCGTTTACCTGTAGCTTGGTCATCCCAACCGATCTGGAAGAACCGAAAAAGTGTCGCTTCGCTGGAAGAGTACCGTTTCGCTGGATAAGTGCAAGTTCTTTTAGCAATTGAGCAAAATAACCAAAAATCAGCCTGCGGACTAAAGATTAAGGGTAACTGAGTCCGCGCCTCCCCTCGTTTACCTGTCGCGTGATGCCGGTATGGATGGCCGCGAAAAAGTCCCGTTTCGCTGGATAAGTGCAAGTTCTTATAACAATCGTGGAAAAGGGTAACTTGAGCGCGCCTGTCTACATTCCCTGGAAATATGCTGGAAAAGTGTGGTTTTGTGCAAGTTCTTATCTGATGATGACAATGCAAAAACAAGAAGAATATCAGAAAACGAAGAAATAAATCATTGATAAATCTCAACTAAGCCTGCGTATGGCAATGAAAGATAACTGGAGTGCGGGTAAGTCCAAGCCAAAACTATTATCCTATAAAATATATATATTATAATTATTATATAATACATACTTATTGTATGTATGTATTACTAACAAATCAATTAATTTCAGAATTTGAGGGGTGGAATATTAAATACATTACGAAAGTTTTTTTTTTGTTTTTAGATAATATTTATTTAAAGTTGTAGGATTTTAATCCAAGCCAAAACATTATTCTATATACATGAAGCTGCCGTAGCAGCGATCTGTTTTAGAAAAATTTGAGCGAATAGGTTCTCGTAGTTTGGATTATTCTCTGCCGTCTGGGTTCCTTCTCCTCCAGCTGTGGCGGGCTAAGGGCCATCCGGGGCCAACCTTTTCCTCTTTTTCTTCTCGCTTTTGTGACTCTGCTGCTTAAATAAAAATTAGAATAAGGCGAATGAGTTTGTTATATATTTATGAATTTGGGGGATCGACTTGGGGGTTTTATAGTTACTTATCGAGTTGATTCTATGTTTTGGTTTACTTTATTTAGTACATTTTTTAATTTCTTCTATTATTATTATTATTTATTATTTCACAGGCAATACAAAAAAGATATAATTTTAAGTGCTTAAAAACAAGCGTTTTTAACTAATTTAGAATATTATTTTTTTATTATGATTCTATTTTATTATAATATTATTATTGTTAATTGTGTTATTATTAAATAATGATTAATAATTAAACTAAATATTAAAATAATAATATAATAATAATTTGAATTAGTTAAAAACAAACTAATATTTACAGCACTCAAAAGTATATGTTTTTGTATTATTATAATTATTAATTTTATTATTTATTATTATTATTAAGTATTATTATTAATTATTATTATTATTATTATGGTTAGTTATTATTATTATTATTATTATTATGGTTAGTTATTATTATTATTATTAGTTATTTTTTCTTTTTATAAACTTATTTAAAGACACATAAATTCGGCTGAAAACTTTAATTATTTAAAATTGCTTGACCTTTATACAATTTTGAATTTAAGAAAAAACTCTTTAAAAAACCGGACTTTCCTCTCAATTTTCCAAGGCAACTCTTTAAAAAAAATTTCCCCCGCCTGAAACCCCTCCTCAGTAGCCGCATTTACAGCTGTGTTCACGGAAATAGCAGTGCGACAGAGGAACAACTTCAAAACGTTTTTTTGTACATATTCCTTTTTGCAAGCTGATCTATTGCACATTGTTTTTGTAAAATGGAACATAAAGATAAGAATCGAGAAAAAATTCCGTTAGATTTGCTCTACTTTTATGTTTTATTGATATTTTTTCACATATGCAGCTCGTTTTGGCCGATCACTGAAATAGCAGTTTTTAATTTTCTTTCGCAAAAAGTGCCGAAATTTCTTTTAATTTTGTAAAAAATTACTTTAATTAAGGTCGTTATTATAGTTTATACTATAATACACCTTTACAACGCAAAAAAATTATTTTAGTGGGCGCAGGACCTCACTGCTCCATGAGAGAAAGATATCAGATAATTTAGCCTAGAAAGAAGGGGAAAACATGTAAAGAGTCTCCAAATCTTTCAAATTGTTCTTTTAAAATAGTTTATAAGTCATAAAATATGAACCGAACCCAAAAAAAACGGGGTACGATTCGCAAAACCCCAATTGTACAGGCTCGACGCGTACTTCGCTTCAGCAAAGCTCGTCCTTTTGCATCCTCTAGGGATATATGAGCGGGAATTGGCATGGGAATCAGTCATGGGACCATTCGCCGGGGACTTATTGAATAAATTTTAGATTCGCGAAGTCCATGGAAAATGTCACTGCTTGGTTATAGGCATATCAAGGCCAGATTGGAGTTCGCCAATAGCCCCTTGAACTGCCACTTTTCAAATGGCGTAATATCCTTTGGACAAATGACTCCAAACTGGTTTTATTTGGTGGAATAGGACAAGACAATATGTCCGTCGACCCCCAAATAGATAGTACCCCCCCAAACCATACGCTGAAGACAGTAAAACACGGTGGCCTAAAAATCATGGTATGGGTATACTTTTCATACAACGTTTTAGGTCCCGTAAATATGATCGGTGGGATCAAAGACCATTATGTTTACGTCTAAATATTAAAAACTGTCTTGCAGCCGTATCCTGAGGAAAATATGCCATTAATTTGGACATTTCAGCAGTACAGTGACCCTAATCATACCATCAAGGTAGCCAAGGAGTGGGTTCTTAATGAAAAAGTGGATGCAATGCCATGGCCTGCACAGTCCCCGGATATAAATCCGATCGAAAACTTATGGGGGACATCAAGGGCTACTTATTAAAGACTTCTAAGATGCAGCTTTGGCAATTTGTGCAGGAGGAATGAGGCCATATTCCCCTCAAGCATTGCTAAGACTTGGTGGACTCAATGCCACCCAGGTATGAGGCTATGATAGCTTCTAAAGGCTATTTAACAAAATATTAGATCATAGTCAATTGGAATTTAAGAAGAAATAGGTTTCTTATACGAAATTTTTAAATTTATGAAGAATTTTAGTTTTTCACTGCTATTTCAATGATCGGCATAATATAGACCTTTTTTGTTGTTATTAGCTATATCTTCTAAAAGGTTTATGTTACCTAAATTAAATGATTGTGGTATTGTTAATAATTAAATATACTAAGCTTTTATGAAAAAAAAAATTTATGAAAATAGTGTTTGTAACAGGATTTTCCGATCTTAAACGTGCAGGTCGTTGGGCACTGCTATTTCCGTGAACACAGCTGTATATGCCATAGAGTTGAGTGCTGGAAATATTTCAAAGGACATCCGCGAGTTAGGGTCTTAAGCACGCGTTGCCTTTGTCTGTAAAAAAGGGGAATCCCCCCCTTCCCCCCTCTTGTGCTCAGCTGCCACTCGGGGGTCGCATTACGACTTGGTGGACACTGGAAACGTGTTGGTCTTACTATATATGTTTTTATATATATATTTACATTTATATAAAACTCTCGTGTCAAGTTGGCTTTGATTTTTTAAAAATATATATTTTGTATTTTTAAGTAAATCCAAGTAATCCATGACACCCAACAGGCCCCAATTGTCATGATTCTCACTCTACCTACCTAACCCAGTTTCATCTAAAAATCAGTCTCGCTCGGGCATTCGATCGTACAACATAAAAAAAAAGTAAAAACCGTGAACGAAAAATTTGAAAACTCCCAAAATACTAGTAAAATTTTTAGACTGCTAAAAAAAATCTCAATATACGCTGCCTTATAATGGTCGGTATACTACGTTTTGTGTTGCGCTTCTGTAAAAACCTTTTACCATCGGCTCGGAACAAAACTAACCACCGCGGAGTGTCATCAGGCCGTGTTACTTCAGCCAAGTCGCGTCGCCGTCGTGCCAATGCCACTACCACTACTAGGTGCCGGAATGCAAGGAATGCAGCCATATTGACCAACATGGAAACAGGTATCACAAAAGCGGTTTTTTGTATACATCTTTAAAATCTAATAAGGAGACGACGGTCAACAGAAACACAGGTTCTGGACCAAGTAACACAAGTGACTTATGGTGAAATTTTAATGGAGGCTGGACAGAGCCAAGATGATGATGTTATAATGGAGGGCGATCAATCTCTGCCCCAAGGTGTTCCCCAAAGCGTTGTGATGGAGGGCGATCAATCTCTGAATGTAGAAAACCCCCAAGAAGTGCCCAGGCCGACCCGGAGAGGGTCCCGAAAAGTGCAAAAGAAGTCAAAAAAAGTAGCACAGGCAAAGCCCCAAGACATATCCCAGGATCTTCACCTAGACGTATCCCAGGATCTTCACCTAGACGTATCCCAGGATCTTCACCTAGACGTTCCCCAGGATCTTCACCTAGACGTATCCCAGGATCTTCCTGAAGGCGTTCCCCAAGGCCTTCCCCAGTACGATTCCCAGGACGAGAGCCAAGGGGTACCACAGGTGGTGCCCCCGGCACTAGTAGAAATACATTCCGAGCCCCAGCCAGTTGAGGATCGAGATCAGTATCGGCCGAGAATCCAACCTAGAAGAGACGCAGCCATGGAGAATCTAGACGAGATCCAACTAAGCGATGATGACCCCCCGAGCGATGAAAACGATAACGCGCCCAATGAATACTATGAATACAATACCGATGAAAGCGATTATGACCCGAGCGATGACATCCAGATGGAGGAACCAAAACCAATCCTCACTAGCATCCTGGACTATGTGGAGAAGTTTCTAGAATGAGCCTCCCTATTGATTGTTAAAATTTTTCGTTATGTTTTAATTATTCGTATTTTGACAATTTTCTAAACAGTTTTACACCAACAAAATTCCACACCATAATACACCAAAACTTAAAATTTAGAAAGCAATTAAAAAAAATATGTTTGTTCGAAGGAAGTAGGTTTTTTTTTTTCTTGAAGGGAAATACATATATTTTTATATATTTTATATTTATTTTAAAATTTGTTATATATCTTTTAAATATTTTGTGAATAATACATATATAAAATAATACAAAATAAATAAAATAATAATAATTAATTATAAATAATGTTGGAGGGGGGCGGCTTTAAGCTGAAATGCACTCGAAATAAGAACACGTAGAACTTTCGGGTTTTTACGCGACGGGCGTCGATGTCTTTATTGTAGAAGGTAAATCGGTACTAAACTATACAAAAGAAACTATAGCTAGGGAGAGCGGATTTGAAGCTCTTTGGACTGGAAGTCCAGAGGAAGAGGGAGAGAAAAGGAGAGCGTTCGGGATCACACTGCCTCCCGAACTTAAGCGCCTTTCTGGCGTGAACATTCTCCCCCCTTGCGAGGATACGCAGCAAAAGTACCAGGAAGTATTAGCTCTGGAAAGCGTAGGATAACGCTGAGCGTTCGTCGGCATGTAGAAGGGTGTGGTGATCCTGTCCACACGACTGGCATCGGTCGCTACTTCGACAGGATCCTCCGGAATGGTGGTGGGCCAGGCAGTTGACGCAGTACTTCCTGTCGATGACTGTCTGGAGCCGTTTCTTCGCATCAAGCCGGAGAAAACGGTGGCACTTCCGAAGAGGATGGTTCCCTTGGCAGACTCGGCATTGGTAGGATAAAATACCTCGGGAACGTCTGCTCTTGCTATCGTCGTATGGAACCCAGTAATTGGAATCGGCAGAAGTAGGCACTCGTGTGGAGAACGAGGAAATTCTTTGGATGGGTGCAGGAATTTGTGGTGCGTCATCACGAGGATTCGGAACACTGGATGAAGTGTTGCTTGGATGCAACAATGTGTGATGCCGACCGTGACACGTGAGACAGTTGTGGGCGCTTGTGCAATTACGGAGTGGATGACCGCTTGCAAAGCAATTTAAGCACAACTGCTTTTTCTCAATGTATGAAGTACGATCTTCTATCGTCATTTGAAGGAAGCGTGGACATTTACGCACTGGATGGTTCTCTGCAGAACACAAATCGCATCTTTTGGATAAGTGAACAATCCGCGTACTAAAGGATTGTAGTACTCGTGGCGACTGGTCGGAGATTGTCGGTTTAGACGAACGGAGGCATATCGTAGGAGGCTGGAGAGAATCGATGGTTTCCAGAGTTCTATGGCGCTCAGTAAGGAAAGAATCGAGTTCTAGCCACGACGGAATATCGGTTTTATTTGTTAAGGATTGCTCCCATAAGGAAAGCGTCAGCTTTGGAAGCTTCGTGGAGCACAAATAAACCAGGAGGCAGTCCCAATTATCCGTAGGAAGGCCGGACAGAGCTAGGGATGTGAGGCAATTTTGAATTGTATTTTGCAGCTCCTTCAAGGCTGCCGAGGACTCACGTTCAATGGACTGAATGTTTAGTAATTTCTTCAGTTGGCTGTTCACCAACGCGCGTTTATTTTCGAAACGCTCAGACAGGTTGTTCCATGCTGAGCGGAAACCGTCGTTGGTCAGTGGCGAATTTGAAACTATGGAATGAGCTTCACCACTCGTCTTGGCATTTAAATAGAACAACTTTTCTACAGGGGTCAGCGTAGGATTGTCGATATAGACCGCTGCGAAAAGGTCCCGGAAAGTCGGCCAGCGAAGATAATCGCCCGAGAAAACTTCCGTTTCGCACGGAGGAAGCCGACAGCCAGACGGAAAGGAATTTTGGGGCGCAGGAGGTTGGACTGGAGCCGCTTTGGAGGAGATCGTATCGATCTGTTCCATGAACTTGGCGGCACACCGTTCATAAATGGAATAGGTGTCGTCGTATTTTGCCTTAAGAGTAGGCAGGGTGTCTGCAGCGCCCTGTAAACCAACTGAAATTAGCTCTGAACAAGCTTCGTACTCTGTCTCGACCTTATCCCATAGCGCTCGGACTTGGTCGAGATGAATTTGGCAGGTGTATTTGGATGGAGTGGGTGCTGCTGGATTGCAGACTCTGGAGTCGAAGTGCCTCAGACGGTCACAAATCAAAGTAAATTTCTTCAAAATAGTAGAAGTCATTTTATATATTTTTTACGACAATTTACTGTAAATATATATTACGAAATAGTAATGTGTCGAAGTTTGATTGGGAATTTAGGAACCAATCGGACTCGTAATAATTATTTTGAAATAATAATTATATTTGTGGAAAATTGTATTTTCTCCCTTGGAATTTAAAACGGAAATATGCAATTTAATTTAATAATTCCGGTCAGCAGCGAATAATATACGGTCACACTAGTGCGGATACGGAAGCGCACTTGGATTTCTAACTTAATTCGTTAGTTGGAATTTTAATATAAAATAATTTACAAATTATTTTATTGATCTGGACTTATGTGATTGACCGGTGCTGTATTTTGGAACCAATACGTGTGTATGTCTATTTGTGCACTTGTCGTATGCAAGTGCAAAATAGCGGAGATAAGGAGAGGCGGAAAAAATTGCCAAATATTGGAGCGTCGACTTGCAGACGATTATGTATGTATGTACATATGTAACTGCAGCTCAGGATAGAGCAAGGGAGCAAATAAACAAATATATGTACGAATTAAATCAATTTATAATTGTAGTACCTGCGGACAGTTATTGTTGTATGTATGTATGTAGTTATATTGTTGTAAATTTGTAAATATAAGTTTCGGAGTGAAGTGGACTGTATTTGTAGTATGTATGTAATGTAAATAAATGTTAGCGGGAACACAGTAAACGAGATGGAATTAAGAATAATTCGAAATTGGAAAGTTTTACTGTGGCTTAGGCATTTATTTAAACAAACACTATGAATTTCGGAACCCGTAGATCTTGTATAGAAATTATTTGGATATAATTTCTCGAATTGGGGAAATGTCAATGTTGACAGCGATCGTAGTCTTATGGAGTGGACTGTATATGTATGTAAATGTAAATAAATGCTAGCAGGAACACAGTTAACGAAGAGGAATTGAGAACTATTGGAATTAAATTCTCACTGTGGCTATTGCATTTATTTACACACACAATTTGGATTTTGGCACAAATGTAGGAAATGAATACCGAATTATTTTGGATTTTTGGAAGGTATTATGCTGCCGTAGTGTCGGATTAATCGGACTTGGATTTAGACAATAATCATACAGAGAAGTTAAGACGAATTGAGTTTCGCAAAACCTAACTGTATGACCGGCAGCAATAATATAATGGACTTATCTGGTGCGGTGTTAAAGCCACCGGAGCTGCTGGTAGATGCGACGAAACATCCGGCTCGAAGGACCAAATGTTGGAGGGGGGCGGCTTTAAGCTGAAATGCACTCGAAATAAGAACACGTAGAACTTTCGGGTTTTTACGCGACGGGCGTCGATGTCTTTATTGTAGAAGGTAAATCGGTACTAAACTATACAAAAGAAACTATAGCTAGGGAGAGCGGATTTGAAGCTCTTTGGACTGGAAGTCCAGAGGAAGAGGGAGAGAAAAGGAGAGCGTTCGGGATCACACTGCCTCCCGAACTTAAGCGCCTTTCTGGCGTGAACATTCTCCCCCCCCTTGCGAGGATACGCAGCAAAAGTACCAGGAAGTATTAGCTCTGGAAAGCGTAGGATAACGCTGAGCGTTCGTCGGCATGTAGAAGGGTGTGGTGATCCTGTCCACACGACTGGCATCGGTCGCTACTTCGACAGGATCCTCCGGAATGGTGGTGGGCCAGGCAGTTGACGCAGTACTTCCTGTCGATGACTGTCTGGAGCCGTTTCTTCGCATCAAGCCGGAGAAAACGGTGGCACTTCCGAAGAGGATGGTTCCCTTGGCAGACTCGGCATTGGTAGGATAAAATACCTCGGGAACGTCTGCTCTTGCTATCGTCGTATGGAACCCAGTAATTGGAATCGGCAGAAGTAGGCACTCGTGTGGAGAACGAGGAAATTCTTTGGATGGGTGCAGGAATTTGTGGTGCGTCATCACGAGGATTCGGAACACTGGATGAAGTGTTGCTTGGATGCAACAATGTGTGATGCCGACCGTGACACGTGAGACAGTTGTGGGCGCTTGTGCAATTACGGAGTGGATGACCGCTTGCAAAGCAATTTAAGCACAACTGCTTTTTCTCAATGTATGAAGTACGATCTTCTATCGTCATTTGAAGGAAGCGTGGACATTTACGCACTGGATGGTTCTCTGCAGAACACAAATCGCATCTTTTGGATAAGTGAACAATCCGCGTACTAAAGGATTGTAGTACTCGTGGCGACTGGTCGGAGATTGTCGGTTTAGACGAACGGAGGCATATCGTAGGAGGCTGGAGAGAATCGATGGTTTCCAGAGTTCTATGGCGCTCAGTAAGGAAAGAATCGAGTTCTAGCCACGACGGAATATCGGTTTTATTTGTTAAGGATTGCTCCCATAAGGAAAGCGTCAGCTTTGGAAGCTTCGTGGAGCACAAATAAACCAGGAGGCAGTCCCAATTATCCGTAGGAAGGCCGGACAGAGCTAGGGATGTGAGGCAATTTTGAATTGTATTTTGCAGCTCCTTCAAGGCTGCCGAGGACTCACGTTCAATGGACTGAATGTTTAGTAATTTCTTCAGTTGGCTGTTCACCAACGCGCGTTTATTTTCGAAACGCTCAGACAGGTTGTTCCATGCTGAGCGGAAACCGTCGTTGGTCAGTGGCGAATTTGAAACTATGGAATGAGCTTCACCACTCGTCTTGGCATTTAAATAGAACAACTTTTCTACAGGGGTCAGCGTAGGATTGTCGATATAGACCGCTGCGAAAAGGTCCCGGAAAGTCGGCCAGCGAAGATAATCGCCCGAGAAAACTTCCGTTTCGCACGGAGGAAGCCGACAGCCAGACGGAAAGGAATTTTGGGGCGCAGGAGGTTGGACTGGAGCCGCTTTGGAGGAGATCGTATCGATCTGTTCCATGAACTTGGCGGCACACCGTTCATAAATGGAATAGGTGTCGTCGTATTTTGCCTTAAGAGTAGGCAGGGTGTCTGCAGCGCCCTGTAAACCAACTGAAATTAGCTCTGAACAAGCTTCGTACTCTGTCTCGACCTTATCCCATAGCGCTCGGACTTGGTCGAGATGAATTTGGCAGGTGTATTTGGATGGAGTGGGTGCTGCTGGATTGCAGACTCTGGAGTCGAAGTGCCTCAGACGGTCACAAATCAAAGTAAATTTCTTCAAAATAGTAGAAGTCATTTTATATATTTTTTACGACAATTTACTGTAAATATATATTACGAAATAGTAATGTGTCGAAGTTTGATTGGGAATTTAGGAACCAATCGGACTCGTAATAATTATTTTGAAATAATAATTATATTTGTGGAAAATTGTATTTTCTCCCTTGGAATTTAAAACGGAAATATGCAATTTAATTTAATAATTCCGGTCAGCAGCGAATAATATACGGTCACACTAGTGCGGATACGGAAGCGCACTTGGATTTCTAACTTAATTCGTTAGTTGGAATTTTAATATAAAATAATTTACAAATTATTTTATTGATCTGGACTTATGTGATTGACCGGTGCTGTATTTTGGAACCAATACGTGTGTATGTCTATTTGTGCACTTGTCGTATGCAAGTGCAAAATAGCGGAGATAAGGAGAGGCGGAAAAAATTGCCAAATATTGGAGCGTCGACTTGCAGACGATTATGTATGTATGTACATATGTAACTGCAGCTCAGGATAGAGCAAGGGAGCAAATAAACAAATATATGTACGAATTAAATCAATTTATAATTGTAGTACCTGCGGACAGTTATTGTTGTATGTATGTATGTAGTTATATTGTTGTAAATTTGTAAATATAAGTTTCGGAGTGAAGTGGACTGTATTTGTAGTATGTATGTAATGTAAATAAATGTTAGCGGGAACACAGTAAACGAGATGGAATTAAGAATAATTCGAAATTGGAAAGTTTTACTGTGGCTTAGGCATTTATTTAAACAAACACTATGAATTTCGGAACCCGTAGATCTTGTATAGAAATTATTTGGATATAATTTCTCGAATTGGGGAAATGTCAATGTTGACAGCGATCGTAGTCTTATGGAGTGGACTGTATATGTATGTAAATGTAAATAAATGCTAGCAGGAACACAGTTAACGAAGAGGAATTGAGAACTATTGGAATTAAATTCTCACTGTGGCTATTGCATTTATTTACACACACAATTTGGATTTTGGCACAAATGTAGGAAATGAATACCGAATTATTTTGGATTTTTGGAAGGTATTATGCTGCCGTAGTGTCGGATTAATCGGACTTGGATTTAGACAATAATCATACAGAGAAGTTAAGACGAATTGAGTTTCGCAAAACCTAACTGTATGACCGGCAGCAATAATATAATGGACTTATCTGGTGCGGTGTTAAAGCCACCGGAGCTGCTGGTAGATGCGACGAAAAATCCGGCTCTGATGGACCAAATGTTGGAGGGGGGCGGCTTTAAGCTGAAATGCACTCGTAATAAGAACACGTAGAACTTTCGGGTTTTTACGCGACGGGCGTCGATGTCTTTATTGTAGAAGGTAAATCGGTACTAAACTATACAAAAGAAACTATAGCTAGGGAGAGCGGATTTGAAGCTCTTTGGACTGGAAGTCCAGAGGAAGAGGGAGAGAAAAGGAGAGCGTTCGGGATCACACTGCCTCCCGAACTTAAGCGCCTTTCTGGCGTGAACAAATAATAATAAATAATAATAAATAATAATAAATAATAATAAAAAATAATAAATAATAATAAATAATAATAAATAATAATAAATAATAATAAATAATAATAAATAATAATAAAAAATAATAAATAATAATAAATAAATAATTAATAAATATAAATTAAATATGATTATTTTTAAATATTATTATTTATTATTAATTATTTTTTATTATTTTCAATTATTTTAAATTATTTTTTATTATTTTCAATTATTTATTATTATTTATTATTATTTATTACTATTCATTACTATTTATTACTATTTACTATTATTTATTAATATTAAAAATCAATAAATTCCCTTTACCTAATGACCCAAAAACTATGGTCATTAGCCTGGTCTTCCTTTGGTTTGATCCTTCAATAGCAGGATATCAAAACAAGAGAACTGAATGGACTGAATGGACACTCATTGAGCCACTCAGCAGCTCGATTGTGCGAAAAAGCCACAGCCATGACAACCAGGTGGGAATTTGAATGGAAAGGGGACCAGGATGAGGGGACTGAGATAGGGAATAGCATAGGATGGGGACCACAGAATGGGCAACAGGATGAGGACTTCGTTGAGGAATAGCAACAGCGATTGGGTATGAGTGACAACCACTTGAAACATCGATTTAGTCCTTGTCAATTGCCCAACAGTGGGTGGCGGATACTGCGATGTCATTGAGCTTCCGGACTACAACAATTATGTGTATTTCAATTTGTTGGCCAGTTTCAAGAGCGGTTAACGAGGGACTACCCACCGACCGTCCGTCTGCCCTGTAATGCTCTGAGCCCTGCTAATGGCCCTGGCATTACCATAGAACACAGCCTCCCCCTATATAACTCCTCCATCTCCATCTCCCACTCCTCCTAGGCATTTCAGCCCACTCATCATTGAACATTCGCATTCACAGTCAGAGTCCTCGGAGGCCATGACAAAGCGCTAACAAAAACATTACGTATACGCACCGCAAACCAAACTTAACTGCGAGTATGCCAGTGTGTGTGAGTGTGTGAGTGTAAGAGGGGGGATAGGGGGGATGTGTCCTCGGGGACAGCATCATAATTTTGCTGGCCAAGCACTTGAGCACTTGACCATTAACGTAACTTTTGTCTACGCAGCTCTGGGAAAGCACAGAGAAAAAAATAAATAAAAATAAATATATAAATAAAAAAAATTAATATAACATATAAATTAAGTTAAATAATAATAAAAATAAATAATAATATAAAAATCAATAATAATATAAAAATCAATAATAATATAAATAAATAATAATAATAAATTAGTAATAAAATAAATAATATAAATAGACAATAAAATAAACAAAAAAAATTTACATTAAAAATTAAAAAGTACTAAAACCAAGAATATTACCTTAAAAATATTTTAAATTCAATAATTTTAAATTTAAAATATATATTTTTTAATATAAAATTCAGATTCAAATATATATATTTTCCATATAATTTTGTCTATTCAACACATATATTTTGCCATAAAAATTCTCCTAAGCTGAGCACTTTTTCTCGCTATTTTTTGTGTTGTTCCAACCAACCATTGCATCGAGTGGTTGTTCCTGCCTGTGGTCAAGTGGGGCATCCTGGGCATCCTGGGTATCCTGGGAACATCGACCACCGTCGACCGCAATCTGTGCGAGCCGCAGTTAGACATTCCCCCGGGGTTTTGTTCCTGGGACCCCTTCAATATTTATGCTTTGGGGATGTAAACAAAAGTGTCGCCTACAAAAAAAATCAAAGAAAATAAACGAGAGGAAAATGGAAATGGCTATGGCACAATGGGTGTTGCCATAGGTAATATGCTAATGCCACGATATTGCAGCAAATAGTTGGTGGGTCTCTTGAAGGCCTTAAAAGTGAACAAAAAACTTGACAGAAAATAAATCAAATTTAATGTATATAAAAATATATCTTAAATGTCGGATAATTCCTGGAAACTTCATTACAAATTCCATTTCCAGCTTCTGTATGAAATACAAACCTTTGCCTAATGTATCTCCCTCCCTTCCCTTAATAATAAATATTAATATCATATTTTTTTCATTGTATTTTATTAGTATTTTGTTTTTTTTTCAATTTTTTCAAAGGGATTTTCGATTTGAGCTTTGGATTAAAATTGTTAATTGTAAATTACATTAAATTGTCCGTTCAATAATTAAAGAATTTTTGTATTTGATTTGCGAGTTTTGATTTTATTAGTATTTATTTTGTATTTTGTATTATTTTTGTATTTATTTTAAATTTATTTTTGCTCTGCGACAGCAGCAATAATTGAGCAAATATTTCCTAATTAAATCAATTTATTCATATTACACGATGCTACTCGGGGATTTGAAAAGAAGAAGAGGGGGTGAAGGAAGGGGAAAGCAACAGGAGAGAGAGGGAGGGGGAGGTGGAGGTGGAGAGAATATATATATATTTATAAGGATTTATAAGGAAGGGTCAGTCCCAAAACACATTTACAGAGGCTTCTTCAATGATATGTCTTGAAATTTATATATGTATATATGCAATCGTGTTCAGTTATTTTTAGGGATATGTGCAAGAGTCTGAACTGGTAGGCTATCGTTATCGTTATCGATTACAAGCTAAAAGTAGTTTGTAGTGACTTAAGAAAGGTAGAGAGATCGCGAGCAATTCGAAGTCGAGAGTTAATTAATTAATTAATGTTAAGTTTTATTTAATAAATATATATAATAAATATATTTTTATATATATACCATATATCGATGTAAAGTAAATCGTTTATCGGTTAAGTATTGATATTCGATTAATCAATAGGTTATTTATATATATTTATTTATTCGTATTTTGTTGTATTTAGCTGTGTGCGTTTTGTGTCAATTTATTGAATTTGTTTTGGCTAATGCTCTTGGTCAATCGATATCCTATCGATTAACTATGGCTTAGTAATCGAATTAAAATATGTTGGCTAATTGTTTAACTTTTGAGATGAGTCGATAATCAAATATTTGTGGCATACCTCACCGATTGCTTGATTATTGATGATCATTGAGAGTGATTCACATTATTGCAGCATCGATTGACGTCGTCGTTATCGTCGACTAATCATCGATAATTTGTTAATTTTGTTTATTGTTTAGATTGATTAGATATCGGATTATTCACAGACAAAAAACCGAAGACCATCTCAATCGTAGGTGAGAGATATGGCCGACTTTGGTGTGGGCAGCGGCGATGTGGTATTCTCCTCCTCGTCATCGTTCTCCTGCGAGTCCTCTGGCTCGCCCAAAGCATGGACAAACTCGTAGAAATCGATGCGTCCATCGCCATCCACATCCACCTCCTTGATCATGTCCTCAACTTTGAGATATAAAATTAAAGCTAATTCAAGGAGGGGGAAAATAACTATTTCTCCACTTACTGTCCTCCTCGTCAAGGTCCTCGCCGAGGCACTGCAGCACCGCTCGCAAATCGGAGGCCGTTATATACCCCCGATTATGCTTGTCAAACACCCGGAAGGCATCCCGCAGTTCCCGCTCCTCTTGATCAGCAGAGGACAACCCCGACTTGTCCTCGTACGTCATGTTGGACAGAATGTCCACGAATTCCTCAAAGCTAACGTTGCCATCGCCTTGAAGGGAATTGAAAAAAATTTGTTTCCAATATATCTAAAGTAGCTTATGGCAGCACTCACCATCCACATCAATCTCCTGCAGCATTTCCTGCAGCTCCTCCACCCTGGCAAACTGTCCCAAAGATCGCATCACTGTGCCCAGCTCCTCCTTGGTGATGCAACCATCACCGTCCTTGTCAAAGAGCCGAAAGGCCTCACGAAACTCTCGCATTTGTCCCTTGGAAATGCAGCGTCGCTTATCCTGCGACTGGTCACTGGTCTCCATTGGATATTGACCCTCATGGCCCAGCTCTAGATCCTCCGAGGCATAGGAGATCTGGCGGCTTTTCGTCTTGCTACGCCTACTCCGGACACTTAAGGCGCTTTGAACGGGCGGACGGCGGCGGCGGCGTTCTTCTGTCCTCGAGGACTGCTCGTAGTCGTCGTAGGACTCCTCCTCCTCCTCGCCCTCTTCATCAGCACCGTCTCCCAAATCCTCCTCCTCCTCCTCATCATCGTAGTCATCTTCGTCTTCGCCTTCGTCCTCCTTCTGCTCCTCCTGCTCCTCCTCTGGTCCCAGTTCCTTGAGATTTCTTTGGGCATAGCTAACCCGCGTGCTTCTCTTTGTGCCGCCCTCGCAAGAGCTGGAATCGGTATCCGCATCCACATCCTTGGCAGCTCTTCGTTGTGATGTTGATGATGATGATGATGATGACTTGGTTGGTCGCCTCGTCATTGTTTCTTTCTTGCGCGGCCTCTGCCTTTGTCGGCGCTGCTGTGTCAATTGTGGTGATATTGCCTGTTCCCCGGTTAGTAATCCAGCCTCTAGGTCCTGGCCAGCTCCTGGCTGGGTGGCCATCACCTGGTGGCCATCGCCCTCCAGCGGCTGATCAGTGGAGCCAGCCGTTTGCTCCTCGTCGGGTTCATCGCCACTCACTGCCGCGTTTCTCGTCTGAGATGAAGATAGAAGATATAAGAGGGATGAATAAATTAAGGAAATAAATAAATTAATTAGGGAAATAATTAAATAAATTAGTAAACAATCTAATAACTAATTAAAGGTTATTAAAGAACCCCCCTGGTCTCATCCTCTTCCTCGAAATTACATCTCAAGAAACTCCTCTTGGTGAAAATACCCATAAAAAGCCAGCAATTAATGCTTGCCTATTTAATTATTTAAATAAAAAACAAGAGCTGCTCAAACCACTTAACTTGCTACGCCTCCATTTCCTTCAGGCACACCTCATTCCGCCGCCGCCTCCCCTTTCTTTTACTCACCATTAGCTGGCGGAACTCGCGGGCAATTGTTGAACCAGTTAAAAATTTATTAACTGCCGTGAAAAGCCGTTTTCCTTCCAATGTGACGGCCTTCCTCCCGCTTCAGCGGTTTCAGCGGCAAAGAATCCTCCTCCTCCTCCTCCCTCCTCCTGCTCCTGGCTACGCGTCCACCTCTTCCTCCACCTCCTTGTGCTCGTCTTCTTTTTGTCCTCCTCTTTTGTGGCACTGCACTCGCTGTGTGACCTCGACGCTTCCAGGATATGCAAATTCCGTATCGAAAGGGGGTTGGGTGCTCTGCTGGGGGGGAAGAGCAATATGTTAATTAAGCAATTACGTATTGAATGCAATGTGCCACGCCCCCAAAAAGGAAGGCGGCACTCATTTGCATAGCGGACACGTCCGCAAATTCGCCACCAACGAGACAACGTGACCGAAGCTAAAGCCTCATCCCAGAGCCAGGTTAAGCACCGCTGACTGAATGGTATAATCAGTCTAATAATCCATTTGATTGGCACACACACACACACACACACACAATGGATTCAATTGATGTCAGCCACGAGCAGGGGAAAAATAAAGCGAAATAAAGCCGGAATAAATACACAAAAGCTCCCTTGGAAAATCAAACAAACACAAACAATGTTGGCTCGTTGATGCCATTTAATATGTCAAGTGTCCCAAAAGGGAATACATTGCTTTAAATTCCCTTGAAAATACAAATATATAATATATGTCCAGGATATACATATAAATGAAATATGTAATATACATCAAGGATATATAAATTCAAATCAAATATGGGTACAAAAAATTAATTTTTAACTTAGCCAAAAACTTATTAAATTTAATTCGGTAAACGATTTTTTTTATTTATTTTTTTTTATATTTATTTCTTTTGTATTTAGTTTTTTTTATTTATTTTTTTTTATATTTATTTTTTTTTATTAATTTTTTATATTTCTATTTTTTATATTTATTTTTTTTTATATATATATTTTTTTTTATATTTATTTTTTTTATATTTATTTTTTTTATATTTATATTTATTTTTTTTTATATATATATATTTTTTTTATATACATATATATATTTTTTTATAATTTATTTTTTTTTTTAATTAATTTTTTTTATATTTAAAAATTTTATATATTAGTGGTGTATGACTTTACTCATACACACATAAAATGTGTTTCAAATACAGAAAATATGATATATGTACAGTTATTTCGTATTGCAACGAAGAATTTCCCCTCCCATATATATTATTATTTTTAATTATCAACCTACTTAACTACTAAACACTTAAAATAATCCAAGAAACATTTAAAACACAGCTCTTAAATATTGCAATAAATGCAATCATTTTCTTTTGCTTTTTTGTTTTTGTTCGAATTAAACCCCATTTGGCGGCGGTTTTTGCAAAATTTAAATAATGGTAGCAGCAGCAGCTCGGTAAATAAAAGAGCCAAGAGGCAAAGAGCCAAAGGAGCTTAATGACGGCCAGCGAGTGGGAGATGAGGGAAATCCGATTATCGCTGTGGCCAGGAAAGGACATCACCGGACAGCCGAGGGAGTCTGCCTTTCCCTCGTCGGCTTTAAAATTGCATTTCGATGTCCTGTGTGTGTGTGTGTCGGTGGGTTTTCTCTTCTCTTCCTTTTTTTTTTTGGAAAATTTTCACTGGCAAAAAAGGAAGAAGGAGATGAAGGAGAAAACGAGCGGAAGGATGTGAAAGGATGTGGATCGCAGCCACCACATGCGGGTGCAGCAGCAGCAAAAAAAAAAAAAAACCGCAGTGAAAATTCATCCAAAAAGGAAGTGCCAAGGCGAGAACATAAGGACACCCCAGGTGGCAGACCAAGGACGAAGCTGTGGCTGTGGCATTTTTTTTTTTTCGTTTTTGTGTAAATTTAAGACCGATCATTCTTCATACTTTAAAATCCTTCCAAGGATTGCATACGTACGCAGATTTAATAAACATTTCACGTTGAACTTGTCCATTAAGCCAAGCGAACAATGCCCATCAAATTGCAATAGAAGAGTAACAAGAGCAGGAAGTAACTCCTATGGCGCTCAGGAAATAGGGAGCTGAGGACCAGGAGGCAGGAGCACAATGAAGCCAAACATTTGCATACAAGAAGATGATCTCCCTCATCATCTGCAGCAGAATGAACCCAGGACATCATCCCATCAGTCCATTCCACGTCAGCGGTTTATCGTTCTAGGTGTCATTCCAATTTTCTTAGAAGCCAGTAGAGGAAAAGCGTGAGGAAAATGAGGGTAAGACATTACCAAAAAAAAAATTTTACAAAATAAATAGAGAGGAAAGTCAGGAATTTTGTTTGTTTTTCTTAAAACAAAATTTTTTTTAAATATATTATCCACTAAAATAAATATCTAAAATTATGTTTTATCTTCTCTAAATAATTTTCCTCCTTTTCACATAATTTTCCTAGGGTAAGGAAATTTTAGAAAAGAAAATAGAGAGGAAAACCATGAGTTTTTAAACCAACTCAGCTTGCTTTTCTTGAATTAAATATTTTTAAAATATTTTATCCACTAAAAGAAATATTTAAAATATTGCTAAATCTTCTCTTGATAAATTTTCTTCCCTTTCGATATTTTTCTCGATTGTTTTCTGTGTAGATTTCCGTTTTCTATTCCCCAACATCTCATCTCTCTTTCGCTTTTCCATTGGAGACGCGTGCAAAGTTTCTGACATGAAATAAATGAAGACGCAACTTTCCCACAGCTACTACTACTACACTCTTCACTTTTCTTTCCCTGACTTTCCCTAATTTTCGTTGATTTTCCACCAGCAGCGCATGGCTCTGCATAACTTTATTGGGAGTCAGTTTCTGTATTAGTTTTGTCGCCAAAAAGGGAAGCCACAGGATATCGTGAGGAAGCACTGAAGTAATCAATGTTTCGATAAAATAAAGTAAATTTAATGTTGAAACTTTTTAATAGACTTGGACAAAGCCTTTCCCAAACTCCTGAAAAGCCAAGGAAAATGTAAAAAAAAATGTGAGGAAAAAGTGGAGTCGAGAGAAAGTAAAGTGGAGCCGCTTAATTAGTACTGGAAAAGTTTTGGGCATTTCAGTTAAAAGAAGGTTCTCCAAAAGCCTCAATAACATAAACATTTTCAAATTAGGCTTTCAATTATTTATTTTTAAAGCTTATTTGAAACCAAGAAGGGCGATAAGACCCCGCCCTTGACCATTTTGTGGCAAAATATTTAAGCATCTGGCGAAGGCGGTCGCCCCAAAAAGCGGAAAAGCGAAAACACAAACCGCAAAATGTTTTCAGCGGCGCGCATTTTATTGTTTAATTTGAATTGCTGTTCTGCTGGGTGGAAAGAGGAGGTGGGTGCTTTTTCCCGGGCTTTTCCGGGTAATAACCGCGTGACCGCAGCAGTGCTGTAAATGGATTACAATGCCCGGCCACGCCCCCATGCAATCAATTAAGGCGAGGCAAAAAGTAAATAACATTTTACGCTCTCAAAAAAAAATAATAAAAATATTGCCTCTGCAGTTGGTGTCCTCCTCTGGAAAATTGTCATACGCGGCGTATGCGTTATATTTGCATGCCAATGAATGGATGGTGTGGGCGTGCACTTGGAGAAAAATTAAGTGAAATTACATTTTATTTCTAAAAATATTTGCGAAGAAATTAGAAATTTGTATTATTCGTTTTTAGAAACTTTAATTTTAATAAATAAATAAATAATTTTAAAAATTAATTAATTAATAAATAATGAAATAATGAAAACCACAACTAATGAAATAAAAAATAAATAAATAATTAAAAAAATAATTTAAAAAATAATTAAATAATTAAATAATTAAATAAATCAAAATATATGAGAAATATAGATTTTTAGGTATAAAAATCATTTATCTTTATATAAACATTAATAAATAAATAATTTTATTTAAATAAAATATTAATTAAAATTAATTATTTATTTATTAATTAATAAATTATTTAGAAATCAATCTCATGTTTAAACATGAATTTATGTAGAATTAAGCTTATTTTCCTTTACTTTTGTTTTCTCTCTCTGTACACATGTATACAAGTTGTGTGTTCTTTTTGTATGGGTGTGTGTGTGTGTGTGACTGTGTCCATGTGCGTGTGTGAAAACGCTGGCACACACACAAAACAAAATTCGTACATAAAAGCGGCAACAAAAACTTTACGCATAAATCAAACAAAAGCAAACAAAACAAAGAGGAGTGCGGAAGCTGCCTCTTTCCTGTTGCCCCTACTTCCTCTTGTCCTCTCCCTCTCTCTTTCTCTTTCTGTTTCTCCCACTCCCACTCCCACTCTTTCTCTTTCTATTCCTTTGCTTTTTGTGCATTTCTCCACTGCACGTAAATATTTCGTGGGCAATAAAAAATTTAACAACACAAACACAGGGCCGAAAAAGCAAACACAAAGCAATTGCACAAAGGTGGGTGGTGAAGGAGCGAAAGAGAGTTTAGAAATGTGAAAGGAGATAAAGAGGGAGCGTATAAAGAGAAGAAAGTAGAGGAGAAGAGGAGGAGAACAGAAGGAGAGAGCAGAGCAGAGCCTTAGCACAGAAAATATCACAAAATCAAAGTTAGAGAGCATACACTTGTAAAAATATTTTTTTATATTTAAGATTTTCCTTTAAGAATATTTTTTTTACTAAGAAAAATTAAATGAAAGCTTTTTTTTTATATATTTTTATATTTTGTTATATTTTGTTATATTTTTTATATATTTTTTATATATTTTTTATATATTTTTTATATATTTTTTATATATTTTTTATATATTTTTTATATATTTTTTATATATTTTTTATATATTTTTATATTTTTTTATATATTTTTATATATTTTTTTAATATTATTTAATATTTGTTTTTTTTTTTGTTTTATATTTTTTTATATTTTTCTATTTTTTTTTTATTTTTTTAAATATTTTTTTTAATATATATTTTTGTTGTCTATTGTTTTGTATATATTTATATATATTTCTTTATTTTTTTATACTTTTAAAATATTTTTTTATATTTTTTTTATACTTTTAAAATATTTTTTTTTATATTTTTTTTATATTTTTTTAATATTTTGTTATATTATTTTTATGTTATATTACCTAATTAATTTT